GCTGTCATAATTATATTCATAAGGTACATAAAAAGTATTTTATACTTAGGGCTTACGAGAAAATTGTCGTAGAGGGAAAATTACATTTCCAATTCATGAAACAGTAAAAGGTAAAGGCGCGTAAGTTACGGAAACTTTGCGCACACATAGGTGAAAATTGCCGAGTTTTCATCATGTAACCGGAATGAATTATGTGTGTTTTTGAATAATATATACCCACGGTTAGTTAGAGAAATTTATACATACAGCACACTTAACTGCATACGCTTTGAAATAATCTGCTTTGCGTGTGTACTTCCGTCCTAAGCGTATAAATAAACCTTCATTAAAACGCAAATTATCGCCCCTAGTTTTATTTCTGATTTTTCATTCAAATGCAATTTCGGTAACTCATTTGTGGTCAAACTTTGTGTGCCGTGAAGCTATACCGGAAATGACAGAGGAAGCATAAAATACATCTTCTTCTTCCTGCCGCCGACGCTGATTCGACGACGCACCCTCGCCCTACCGCCTTTTCATTTGAATAATAATTTAATTCAAAAGTTGTCGGCACGGCTGGCATTATTTTCCTTCGTTTGAGTTTTCATTTTAAATATTTTAATACAAATGTATTCGCGCATAATGCGCTACCGAAAACGGTTATTTTATCGCGATATGAGATCCGTTTTAAAAACCAAATGCCTCCCACTTCACGACACATCACTGAAGGTAACAAAATATCGAAAACTTGTCGCGTAAATTAGGGTGCAAAGGGTTCTTTTCTTCTAATAACTACAACCCCGATTTATCTCCACCTAGCGACATCACAAACTGTCTAGTCTGAAGCGGAAGCTACCCAAGTGTTTGAAACAGAACTGTGATTTCAATTTAACTCAGTTTTAGAGCTCATTCTTATTCGTATTCGTTCAACTCAAACAGTCACAAAGGACTGTTTACTTTGCCGATTTATATCCTGCCACTTTGCGATGGCTAAAGTCAACCCTTTATTTAACTGTCTGCTCCAACGAACGAAACGTCGAAGATGTCCTTCATGTGTTTCTCCCTGATTTTATATTCGGAGTGAATAATATGCATATGGAGACAACGATCAAATCAAAAGTTTATCAAACAACGCAAATTAATAATGTAACCGAGAGGGGAAACTCATGATAGCCTATTGGAATCCATTATTAATTTTGATGACTTATTTTCACTTCTGTAGACGGCATTCAAATGAAACGAGAGGGTTGAAGAACTCGCCAACAGAATTTGAAATTTAAAACTTGGAACACGAGATGAATTTTTGTTATCTTTATTTCTTTTCTATTACTGATAGGGTCAATGCAAATTTTTCAAAATACCTCGGATTCGGAAACTCGCTGATTTAATTAAAAGTTCTTTGCGGAAAACCGACTGCAAGACCAAGAAGGGGATTAATTGAGCCATAAATAAACGCAAGAGTGATGAGAAAAATAAACGTAGCTCTTTCAGAAAAGGCACAATCAGGATTTTATTTCCTTAAATTTAGATTTACTCAAATATAAATCTATAGAGGGTGAAAGCGGGGTACACTTACTCATCTACATTCTTTTTTAATTAATTAATTTAATACTTGATGATTCAAATTTTTGCTTAAAGTGATTGTCGATTACACATATTATTTTGAGTCATTTGATCGAATTCTAAAAAAAAAATTATCATTTGAGACGGAATTAAAAAGAAAAGTGTAAAATCCGGAAAAATACAAAAAATTCGACTTTGTACGTGTGAATATAATATATACAATAATTCAAATTTAGTGCTACTTGAATGTTGGATTTGGACATTTTAGAAAAATTCCATAATTATAATAAGTCGATTTTGATAAATCGGCTCTTTTTATGAGGTCAACTTTAAACAAAAGTAAAAATTCAATAGTAATATCACGTGTGCATGCCAAATTGTCTATAATTTAAAATTAGAACAAATTTGGCATGCACCAGGAATGTTGGCAAACTATTTCCCGAAAAGAAACCAATATTTTTATTTTAAAAAAATATATATTTAAAAAAAATCCAATCAGATTCGCGGTAATTTAGCACACGGGCAAATTATCGATAATTTATTTAAATTTAAATCTGATTAGATAAATTTCAAAAATTTGAAAGATTTCATTGGTTTAATCGGTAAAAGTTCGTATTTGGACACATCAAGACGCTATTTCGTAGCCAATCAGATGCAAGCATATTGACGTCATGTCAAGCAAATCGTACAACTAAAAATCAGTTTGTTGTGTAAACAAGTGTAAAGGGCGCAAAACATGGTAAAGATAAAATTGAGTAATATTTGAATTACTTTGTGACGTTGCGAATTGCGGGATTACGCAGTCCCAAAGAAAGGACTTCTACGAAACTGTTACGAAGGAATGTATTTTTGTGGATCCTGCCGCTTTTGAGAATATTGTTAGAATAACAAGTCAGTCTTAGCCAAGCTCCGGTATGTACAAGTTACTTGAATTGTAATAATTGTCCGGATAAATTATTACTTATTTGGTAATTCAGTGATAAATTGTGTTGAAATGAGGGCTGTACACACAGTGTGTCGTGTATTTTCGAGTGCCTACTAGACATTTATTAGAAGTGCGTAATTTTTAAAATTTCGAGTGATTAGTGGAAGGAGTCTTCTGAGGAATAAAAAAAGCAATCGTGCTAAAGGGATCTGGATTAAAAGGTAAATCAACAATAATTTTTTTATTTTTTATAAAAATTACTTTAAAATTTTATTTTAAACTAATTTAATAAAAACAGTGTATTAATTTTGTGTTTTTTTTTCAATAGGTCCGTTCTATGAAGAAGCTCCTCTTGCTACAAATGGTACCAGAAGAAGATCCCATATAGGGTCAGTGCATTTTAATTTTATTCTTTTTTGGTTTATCGCAAAGTAAAGTGTGTGAATTTGTGATTTTCAACTAAATTATGAATAGGAATTTGTGTTTTAGATAAAATGTATAATTTCCAAAATTCAGTTTGAGAAGAAAAAGTGCAAATTTATCTAAAATAATAATTTTAACGGAAAAATTGGATCTTGTGTCTATATAAAAAAAAAAAAAAAACATCAGCAAGAACAATTCTAAGTATTGTACAAATTTAACTCTATTCCAGAATAAATAGTGGATTTTTGTTTTGTCAGGTTAGTGCATTTTGATTTTTGATTTTTTTGTTTATCGTAAAGTGCATGGTAAATTCGTGATTTTAAAGTAGAACAGTAAGTAGGTACTTTATTAAATTATGAATAAAAATTAAATAAAATTACTTCTTTTGTTCTTTATTTAACGAGAAAAATATTTGGTTAACAATTCCTAAGGTAGATGAGTGAACAAAATAATAAAAATAAATCAACAAGCTGTGTTCAGTGGTCTCAAGAATAACCTACTTACCCTTTTGAATAGAGAATAGAATTAATCTCTTTGGCAATTATTTGAGATATTTTACAAGTAAACGCGATCGATTTATATTACGTTATTTATTCAATGGGAAGCCAGAACGAAGCAATTTTTTCGTGAGGTTTTCAGTCTGCTCTTTCCTCGCCTTTATCATCTCTGTCATCTTCCGTAACAGCTTAGTTAGAAGTCTAAACTTTTTTGTTCTTTTATATTTAGTTACTGAGATTGAAATAAAGCTAATGATCTTGTGAGAGAGGGTGAAATCTTGTCGAATTTTAATAGCAGGAAATCCGTAACATCGATAGTGGTAATGTCAAGGATTGGAATCCTTCGTGGGAGTGTAAAGTATTAACCACGTGTATACAAGACGCAAGGAGATAAGATCGGATGGAATCCATGAACTTGCACTCTCTATCGAATGTAATCCGCCTCCGACCCTGAAAGGCACTTGCCATTTCTCAGTGTTAAGCCGTTTCGATGTCCCCATTCTCACACACATCTAATCAGTTTACAAATTTTTCAGGTGCGAAATAGAAGTCGACCCCTAATCGCGTGAAGAAAAGGCCGAGGAGCGAACGGAACTAGCACAAAGACGATGGAGAGGAAGGATATAGGCGAGCAACTAAGGACTTCTGAACTGGAGGCGAAAGGTTCAGAGTCTAATTACCTCTCCAGAGATTCATTAATCACAAACTCCCGTAATTACATTCGCTAAGTTTATACATACATATTATAGCGTACCGCGCTCTGCCCTCGGCGCAAACAGACTAATAGTAATCTGATAACGACAAAAAGCAGTCTTAGGTTATCATTTCTTCAATTACCGGGTTAAAAAGCGTCGCCTATCTCAACCCTATTCAAGCGCGAACGACTTATCGCGATCTCGCATTCAGAAAGCTCCGCATAGGAGACTTGGGAAAAAATAAAATGTGTAATATGTTTTTAAGCCATTCGTTCCGCACAGAATTGATTAAGTTATCACAAAGAGCTGACGCGCACTTTATGACTTTAACTGGGTTTACAGCAAAGCCAATTTTGGTCACTGTCTACAATTAGGTGGTGCACCAATTAAACTTCCAATAACAAAAAGTTATCCCAATTTTGAAAACAACTACTGTAGAAAAATCACAAAAGTCATCAGTTACAAAATGTCTGTTTAAAGATTCGATAAAACCTTGTTTTAAAGAATCATTTATATAAGATTGCGATCCTTACAGCTAATTATTAATTTTTGTCACTGAAATAGCTTTCAATTAACAAGAAATTTATCGAAAAGTAACAAAAAAATTCATGAGTGACTGTTGTTGATGTTTGGCTTTTTTAAACATCGAACATAATTGCAAAAAATACATCAAATCAAATAGAAAAATAAAATGTGTAACTGGTTGCATTAAAGTTTCGTAAAATTACGTGAATCAGCCTGTATCACATAAACGCATTTCCTACGACTCTTTACTAAGTTAACGTATAAAACTGGTTCACAGCTGAAAAAAAACTACACTGGAAATTTATTTGTACTCATTAAATTTATATAAATACTTTTTAATTATTTTTATTACCTTTTTTTGTACTGCAATTAATTCTCTAAAAACAATTAATTGTCATCATTTCATACTTCAAATATTTCATTAATTATTCAAAATTTTCCGTACTATTTTTCAAAAACATTTCCCAAAATTAAAAGTAGTTCACAATGTAAGTTCTGGTGATGAAATTAGATTTGCACATTCCAAATTCAAACTTCCCGCAACTAAAATGGAGATTTCTGCACTAACCACCAAGTTCGATCCCAGCTGTCAGACTGACAGCACACGTCGTCTTTATTCTAGGTTAGAAGCAATGGCAAGAAATTTTGTAAAAGAAATAAAAGAGTTAAATAAAACGTACGTTCATATTAAAGACCCGGAAAAGTTGAACGCTAAACTAAATGGTATAATTAATGACGGTTTCCAACAATTGCAAGTAGTGTCAGACTTTGACCAAACACTTACTAAACAACACGAGAATGGCAAACGACACAAAAGCAGTTTTCGCAAGTTTTTTCACTTAATTAAAAAAAACTGATCTTAAATGTGTTAATTGCAGGCATTTTTGAGTGCTGTCCTTCAGTTACCGAGCAATATTTGGAAAAGACAAATGCGTTAACCGAAAAATACTTCCCTCTTGAGTACGACCCCAATATTTCAGAGGAGGAAAAACGTAAATTGATGGAAGAGTGGTGGCTGCAATCAGAAAAAATTCTTTGGTAAAATATCATACCGTTTATTGTTATTTTTTATAAAAATGTGAACAGTGGTTTAACAGTCAGTTGCAAAGAAATTGATGAGGCAGTAGCCAAAGCGGGAAGTTCTTTACGTGATGGCACTAAGGATCTCTTTCAAGCCCTGCAGAGTCAGGATGTGCCTATCCTAGTTTTCTCAGCCGGTCTAGGAAACATTGTAGTTTCTGTTTTGAAAAACCAAAATGTGTACTTACCAAACGTTAAAGTAAGTTCAGTTAAAACAGTTAAAAGCAACTTTTATAAATTGTCTTTCAGGTCATTTCGAATTTTTTGAAATATGATGAGAGCGGAACGATTGAGGGATTCACAGGTCCGCTGATACATGTTTTAAACAAGAATGAATTTGCAATTAAAAATACGGAATATTTTGATTTAGTCAAAAATCGTAATAACGTTATTTTGTTGGGAGACTCGCTTGGCGACGCTAAAATGGCAGATGGCATGGCTCATGCTAACTATGTACTAAAAATAGGCTTTATCTATGAGAAGGTTGTTAAATACTTCTTTTACTACATTTTGTAATTGCAAGTTTTTAGATTGAAGGCAATTTGCCCGCATATATGGACACTTTTGATATAGTATTGGAAGATGACCAAACTATGGACGTTATAAGAGCCATAATTAATTTAATCAAATGACTGGTGTATACACATTGTTTACTTAACTGATATTTTGAAATAGAGGTCAAATCATCTTTGATCTATTTTTAGTCAAATTAGTTCCCAAGAATTATTTATGCTTAAAAAACATTGTTTTTGCAAAAAAAAAACAATGGAACATAGGAGTGCTCTTTTGTTGTATATTTTTACACAAATTTAATTTGCTGACTAATTATTTACATAATTATACAGTCGAAACTTTGATACTATGATACTTGATTTTTAAGGTCAAGAAATTTATTATTATCAATCTCACAATGTTTCATGTGATGATGTTTCACTTTTTATGTTTTATTGAACAAATAAACAAGAAAATGACAGTTGTTTCTTTTATTTCCATTTGTCTCCTACAATGTATGATAATTAAAGTAGTGGATTTCCTTCATGGGAAATATTTAACAGGAAATACAAGTGATAATTAACTTATTATCAAATGGAGTCCACAAGTCAGATGGCAATCAAATAAAATATGAAGCAATTATTTTATAGCTTATTAGAAACAGCCTTCAAGTTCGTCCCAAAGACGTGAAACGAGTTAATAGGTCAATTATTATTTATAATTATTTTTTCGCTAATGAATAAACAAAGCAGGACTATTTCCTGTGGCCTGAATTCCGTTCCAATTTAATAAACTTGCGATGCAATGCCGTTTTGCGCCCTATTTTCTCGGCGAAATATAAATTTAGCTCGGAAAATTTATGTCGCTGAGTTTTCCACTAAGACAACCCGCGAATATGTAAGTAAATTATGATGAGTGGGGACGACTCTTAAAACGAAACTCAGTCGATTCGAGGCGACGCGACGTTCGAAAAGCGACCCGAAAAACATAAATAATGTCGATAACGCGGGTGTCGAAGATGCCGTTCGAACTAAATAATAATTTGGAAGTTTATGAAAGTTCCTACAAGAGAAACCGAAACGAATCTATAGTGTCCGTATCCAGTGCCTCTAGTTTCCATTCGGATTCGAGCGAAGATGCTGAGGGTTTATCGCGAAAGTCATCCATAGTACAAGAATTAACACAAAAGGATAATGTACTTGAGGTGAGAAGATTACATCTTGCGAGGCTCAGCCTATTGTTGTGACATTTTTTCGCCCCTATCTTCACAATAGATGTTTGATAATATTTTAGCGAACTTGAGTGCTACTTCAACAATCATATTGCATTATTGCTTCACCATTGTCTTTAATCAGAAGGGTCAAACAATGTGAACCTTAGTTTTATATCAGGCTACCAGACCACATCCTGATTGACCACACGATTAAATTTAAATACTATCAAACTATAACTGCAATTAGGTAATTTTATTATCTAATCGGAAAAATTACTACATAACAACTGGAGCATTCATTTTCAGCAGATTTCAGTTTTCATTGCCTTAACATGGTTTTCTGTTTAATCAAATTCATGTTTAATTCATTTCTTAAACTTCGCAATAAAAAACAAACAAACATCGAAATACATAATTATATGCTTAATTTCATACCAGTAAACTTAATTAATGAAAATGGCTCAGTAATTAAATCGAGTGCAAAACATAGTGAAATGTAAAAGCAAAAAATAAGTAAAATAATTATAAGTGCTATCAAAATTAATTTCAACTTAAATTTAAATTGGAAATTTTAAGAAAATAACTAATGCGGTTATATAAAATAAAAATTCACGTTATAAAAGTAACAAAAGCAAAGTTACATTACCATTTTATATTTTAATATTTGTGATCCAAGTCCATTTTGAAGAAAAATGTCCAGAAAAAACAAACCAAGCCTAATGAAAACGATTTTATTAGAAGTGATCAAACAGAAGATCTTCGAATTTATGTTTTGATAAAAACTAAAGTGAAACCAAATCAAATGAAATGAAAATGAAATGCCGCCGTTTCTCATTCTTGTTTGTTGCAAAAATGCAACATTGTAGTAGATATAGTATGAGCCTGATTTTTTTTTGAATCAACCAATTTAACATTTCAAAGACAACGTAGATATAAAATATTTGGTTTTAATTAATTAAAATAGTGATCACATTATCATTAAAAAAAAAATTATACTCGAAACCCGTCTATTTGGATATCAAGCTGCAGCCTCCGAAGCGGTTTTTAAACATTGGTTCTCCATAACTGAGAATCATCACCATTGCTAAATGTTTTAGTAATCTCACCAAATTCACCAAGGTTTGACTTTTTATACATTAAAGTTGAGGTGCTGTCTGGTCACTAAGTTTAATTTATTAAAACCAAATACATGTTGGAAATGTAATCTTGGTTGTTTCTAAAAAAAAATCAGGCTCATTATTACTCGTGGGACATCCTATATAATGAACGGAGTAAACATTGTTAAATTATCACTATTCTTGCCAGTAAATGATTATGATATTTAAGTGAATAATTTGGTCGTTAGGGCGTTTTTCTCGCAATCAAACCATCAAAAATTGATCTGCATGGTTCATCGATCGTTTTAATAATTTATTCTTTATTGTGGTCAATCTAATGAATTCAAGGAATTTTATACTGTCTGCAAACGAAAAACTCGATCAGTTCACCTAAGAACAAGTTATTTCTTTTGCAGATATATTAGGTAATTTTTACTTACTTCTCCTTGGAACTAAATTGTATTATTATAAACTTTTGAAAATGTAACAATCAACAACCAAGCTCAATTGTAAATACGTGTATGATGTGTACAAAATAATAAAAATAAAAAAAGTGCCGAGTTTTCCAAAAATGTTGATAAAATAATAATAAACAATGAACTCAGAATCAGTGTTTTCTCTAAGATTAATCTTTATTCAGACCTCAAATGATAAGAAAATACTTGACATATGTGACCTAACTTATTTTCCGTGCAATGATAGGATTATATTGTAAAATTCTAGTAACAACATTGGTAAGTTTCATACTGAAAACTCCTTTCCTTATTCATTAACGATTAAAACTGAAAAAATCCAATAACATAGGGAGGTCAAGCATGATTAGCAATAATAATTTAAATTTGTGCGATGTCAGACATTACGAGGCCTATTAATTTTTTTTATTACCTACTTCTACTTTACATTCCCATACTAATTGCTATATTTTACTAAGCAATTATGTTTCTACGGAAAGTTAAAGGATTATGGAATTAACAAACAAACTAATGTAAAAGAAATTAATTGGTGTAAACGAAACCTCAAATTATTATTGCGTTGTTTATTAAGCCATTTCGTGGTGCTCAAATCAAGACACATTCATTAATGTCAGTTATAATTTACTCTGCAAACATTTTGTTAATTAAAGCGAATTTTAAAAATGCAAAGAATCGTTTACGTTTAATTTTTGACGTAAGATTTATTATTCAATTATGAAATAAAAAAGTAATGAAATGCAAAACGTTGACATGAAATCGTCATAAAAATTTTAATTGGGCCACATGATTTTAATTTTAATTAAGACAATCAGACAATTTTCGTGGAATTGTTGTTTATTTGTGCTTCGCGTTACTAAGTTTGATAAAAATAAATGAAACAGTGTTTCGCGTACTATGTAATTTCGAAATGAATAAAAATACACAAGTGTTTCGATTTAACTTTGGATAACATAATAAAGGAATTTTCTTATTTTTACACGAGTTCGTGGATATTTAGGGAATAATGAGGAATCTGGAAACTGTTTTGCTTATTTTTGTAAAAAGCTCTGTTTAAATAATATCCTATAAGAAACGATAATCAAAACAAACCTTCATAACGGTTTTTACATGAATATAAACAAAAAAGCCGCATTACTCCATCAAAGGCAAAAAAAAATCATGTCAATGTGACAATCCATCAAGGAAAACTCTCATCTCAACGCATCCAGCGGCAAGATAAATTTTGCACAATCAATCGATGTCCTAGTTCCAGAGAAATTACAGCTTTTTCCGCCACCCATCACTTTTATATAACTTATTGCCCCTTTCCACGCCAAACCTCAGCATAAATAAACATACAAGAATCTGATTAAAACATTGGAGCGAAATTATTAATGGATTTCTTCCCGCTAAATGAGCAGGAACGAGGTTTGCTGTGGCCGCCTTTAACGTCCAATACTTAATTATTTCTTTGTTTCAGAATGCAGATTTTAGAAGATTTCGATCGATGTCCGATGGGGCCGCCTATCGACTACCCAACCAAGAGCCTTTCGAGGTTTTTCCGAGTCTACCCGACTCCGTTTTGGAGAAAATGGGACTCCTCGGTAACGGCCCCAGGTAATTATTCGCCAACACTGCAATTTTTACAAAAATGTACGCAGCCTTGGACTGCTTGGCCATTAACGATGACCATAATGGTAAAATTTACCGTTTCTTCATTCACAATGCGAATTCGTTTATTTTTCTTGCAATTTTAACTGCCGAATCTTTGATATTGTGATAGCATTGAGGAAATCTAAGTGTGAGTTATTCTGAAACATTCCTGCGTGGGCGTTTCACAAGAACAAAGAAAATATTTTCTGTTTGAATAAACGATGAATTTCCGCCGATTTGCGCTTAATATAAATCATTCAAAATTGTAGCAAAAGAGCTATTTTTAAACTTCCCACGCACAGATATGTATGTCATAATTTGAGCCCATTAAAAAACTAATTAAACTTACACACGTTGTACCCAATATCGTGGCAAATTAAACAAATGGTAGTAAAATACAAATCTCAAATGAAATATTATTTTTGGCTTTAATTCACAAAAGAAAAAAGAATTTTGACGCATTATTATAGATTTATGTAGCGAAATCTGCGTATCAAAGGAAAAGCCCCTTTTTAAATTTCCATAACACAATTGAATATCTTGAGTAACAATGGACCGCACAAATTATTAATTAAGAGCTAATTACTTTAAAAAAAACCTCTAACCGCACTGATAAGAAAACGATCCAACATTGGACAAATTTATCACTTGTCTACAAATTGGTTATCTCATAAATATGTAACAGTCTAACGACCAGATTTTGCAATAATTCATTGGTAAATCAAGCTTTTAGGTGAATTCAGTCCAATTTAATCTCAGATTATGATTGTCAGGGAACGTCTGAGCGACGAGGAGCTCGAGCAAAAATTCGTGTCGTTGTCTCTCGCCTTTACCATCGACGCCGCTACAATCAAAGACCGATGCGAGCGTCAGAGGCGCTATCGCGACCAAACCGAAACGAATCTGAACACAGAAATCGAGAAACTGATTGAAAAAGCCAACAAAATGCAGTCTCTGTGTGTGGATGCTGAGACCACGGAACTCCTGTCGTCCCTCCTAGGCCAAATCGATATCGTCATGAAGGCGTCTTCGCACGCGACCATTTCTTCCGAAAGATACGGAGCCGTTCAACACGAACACCGCATCTCCGAGTCCGTCAATGTGATGATCAATCATGTGAATCTTCTTAAGCAACAAAGGGATTCGGCCCGGAGACAACTTCAATACACAAAGTGAGTTTTGAGTGAGTGTAAAAACCGGCTTATCTACATCCTGGAATTCATACTTGGTGGTGTCGGTTTATTGACTAGAAGCGTTTTTTTCATTTTTCATAAGACCACTGCGAGATCATTTTTTGGGATACTTTTAGGCGGGTCCTGCAGAATTCGAATTCGTCGGAAGCTCCACAGAAACAGGTTGCGACTAGCCAGAACGGTAGAATGATTACAAAAAGACGGGCGAGTATTGCGACAATAACACGTCCTATTGAAATGTCTAAAAGTACAGATTCTCGTAAAATTATGAGAAGGACGTCGGATTTATCCTTGCGAGCTTCCTCTTTAGCGCGCAGTTCTAGACCTAATCGGCTAGAGTAAGCCAATGAGGAAAAATCGCGAATTTCTAATCAATCAATATTTCAGACTCGGTGTAGATCTAGTCAAGATCAAAGAAGGAATGGTTGAAAACGAACCAATGACCAACGAATCGTGTAATAGCGATAACGAATCGATTCATGAAGACGATTCTAGTCCAGAAGATAGTGCACCATCTGTTGAAACAGATATTTCACCGCTTCCACTCAGGTTTTTATATAAAAAAATTAGAAAGAGAAAACTAATAATAAAAATATTTCAGGCATAGGTTAGTGAGACGATTTAGGCGACTACGAAAAGGTATAGAAGAACGGTATGACAGATGGACGGAAGATGGCACAATCCACGAAATTTGTTGTTTCTGTGCCCTCATGTGTTTCTCAATTAGTTTAATAATTATGGCCAATCTTTTAATAGAAGTAGAATTTAGTAAACGAGGATTGACACCATCGAATTTTTTTTGGTTCTGGACCACAAACAACGGGAATACTCAAATCTCGAAACGCATTTACCAAGGAGGCATCTCAACAACTTAATCTTATTTATTTATTTAAACCAAAGAATAAAATTACTTTCCAAGAAAATTTCCTTGCTATTTCCTTGCTAAAGCTGAATTATACGCGAGAGTAATAATGAGAGCGAGTCTATAAAATTGTTTTCTCCCGAGGTTTATAAACCATTTTTTCACTACTAGCACATTTGCTTAACCTTTTTTTACATGATAATGTAAAATAAAAATCGGAACGGACAATAAAGATATACATGAAAACCAACTTTTCCTTGCTAATTCACGATCAAAACAGATTTTAAATCAACGATTTTAAATGCACATTAAAACGTAAACGGGGCTTAACGCAGGACCTTTAAACGACATTTCTGACGTTTCAATGTCATTAACGTCAAAATTTCATAACCTCACAGTATTCACGACCAAAATAATGGAATTGAATTATAAAATACAAACTTATGCATGGGGAAAGAAAGGCAAAGACAGTAAAGTCGCATATTTACATTCAAATGTTGACAAAAATTTCAAAATTGACGACAATTCACCGTACGCGGAGCTTTGGATGGGGACTCATGTTAATGGCCCTTCCAGCCTAAAAAATGGAGAACCCCTTTCGAAGTTAATAGCAAAATATCCGGAATATTTGGGCACTAACGTCCGGAAAGTTTTTGGTGATCAGTTGCCGTTTTTGTTTAAAGTTTTGTCGGTGAATCAGGCATTGTCCGTCCAGGCACATCCGTCTAAGGTAAGTTGTAACTAAAATAAATCATTTTATTTAGTCAATATTTAGAAACATGCTGAAGAGTTACATAAACAACATCCTGAAATATACAAGGACCCTAATCACAAGCCTGAAATGGCCATCGCTTTGACTCCTTTTGAAGCCTTGTGCGGTTTTAGGCCTTTGCCAGAAATTGCATTTTTTCTTAAAAGTATAGCAAAATGTTTTCCTAAGATTTCTCCACATTTTTACTTCCAGATATTCCGGAATTAAAAACAGTAACAGGCGACGTTGCAGATAAACACAAACAGGACAGTGTTGATTTATTAAAAGATGCATTTAAAACTATTTTTATAACAGATAAAAATGTTATTTGTGAACAATTAAAAAAATTAGTACACAGGCTTAAGACTTTGGGTATTTCTATTTGACAAATTTCGTAATTTAATGACATAATAATGTTTGTACAGATGAAAAAGAGAGAGAGAAATTGCAAGCAAGCCTTATTGAACGGCTTTATGAGCAATACCCTGATGATGTGGGTTGTTTCATGGTGTATTTCCTCAATTATCTAAAACTAAAACCTGGAGAAGCTATTTTTCTGGGACCTAATTTGCCTCATGCTTACATTCATGGAGGTAACAATAAAGTAATTTCATGATTCTAATAATTAAATTGACTTCCAGACTGCATTGAATGTATGGCTTGTTCAGACAATGTTGTCCGCGCTGGACTTACACCAAAATTAATTGACTTTAAAACATTATGTGACATGGTTATTTACGAGGGTGAGAATCCAGAGAGGAAACTTTTCAAACCAGAAATCGAAGATTCCTGTACCCTAATTTTTAAACCTCCAGTACCAGACTTTGCAGTGATCCAAATAAAGGTAAAGATAAGAAAATAAGTGTAATATTCTGTAATCAGCTTTAGGTCCCTGCTAACACGAAAAATCATCAAATCAAAAAGAGAACTTCTGCCAGTATTTTGATTGTGATTGGAGGCAAAGCCAAATCAAACGGTACTGATTTAGTGTTAGGAACAGCCTTGTTCTTGCCCGCTAATCAAGAACTAAGAATTGAGAACATTATTGAAGATTTGCTTATTTACCAAGCACTTGCAAATGTATAAATTTCGTATTTTTGTATTGGTCAAGGTTTTATAACGGGAATAAAGCAATATTTCTTAAAAAAGATTTTTTACTAATAAACAAAAGAAAGGAAAAATTAAAAATAATAAAGCAAAAACGATAAAAATGAAAATACTATTCGGTTTTGAGTCAGTCTTTAAAACTTAAACAATATTCTATATACCACCAATATCTGAGGACTAATTTTCACCATTCGCTGATTCCGTATGAGATTCATTGCCAACTTCAGAGCTACTCTCCGAAACTGTATCCTGATTGTCAGTCATTTTCTCCAAAACTGCATCAATTCGAGATGGAACCTCATCACCTGCACCATTTTGTGGAACATTTTCAAGCTCACTACATTTATATTTAATCGAGTCATACAGTTGCTTATTTCCCGCTTTCTCAGCCAATTCGGCTGCAAAATCTAGAAATTCTTTGTGGTTCCTTCGCGCCAAAACTTTCGCAGCATTTTCATACTGCTTAATGGAAATGTAACTGAAAAAAATCAACATCACAGAGAATCATAAAACAAAGCTAATTTACCAAAAAGCCGCATTTTCGAAATTTCCAGTGGTAACACAATGTTCGGCCCATTTTTGTGTAACCTCTGTGATAAATAAGCTATTTTCCGGAAGCCTCTGTTTGACCAAAACTAAAGCTTCTTTAAACATTAGGCTTGCACATAGGGAATTTATTGCTTCTTCGATTTTATGACATGTTAAAAAGTACATCGCTGTTTCGAGAGGATCAGATGCGGCGTCCTCTGACAATTTCTTTGCATATGACAGACACGCATCTTGCCATAATCTGTTCAAACACGAAATAACAAAACAAATTGCGATTACTTGTGAAATATAATACTCACTTTGATGAAACCATTGGAGCTAGATTAATAACTGTTGGGTTTACTCGATTCTCGTTAATGGCCGTTTGAATATAATCACCCACATTACCTTTCCATAGCGAAATCAATTCACAAGATTTAAATTTACCATCTTTTTTCTGTTGAACATCTTTAGAAAAAAAAATATTAATTTATTTATTTTGGAAAACTTTAAATACTTACAATTTGTATCTAAAAGCTGTGACACTTGTTCTTTAGTCCCAAATAATTCAAGTGAACCTAACTTGACATCGTCTGTAATTTTATTTTCAATTTGGTCTATCAATTTTCTCATATTGTCCACTTGCATTTCTATATTCTCATCATTTGATACATAGAAAGTAGGTACTATGTGGTTTTTAGATGGAGTTTTAGGTTTCGGAACCTCAACAATAATTCTATTTTTATCAATTTTTTCATCGCTTTTACTTATTTTAGTCACAATACGTTTTCTCTCAGCTAGAAACTCTAAACAAACTTTTATAATCTCTAACTCTTTTAAAAATCCTACCTTCATCCAATTTTGGCGGATTTTTGGAAACACTCCAAACCTGTATTACCCTATCGCCTGTAATAATTAAATCGGGGTCGATAGGACTCCAAACAACTGCCGGATTATGACTTAAATAATAGTCAACAAAGGTCGCAATTGCAGTTTTCGTCGACACATCCCACACCTGAATAAACATTATCAAATTTGGTTTTATTTATTTCGAATTAAATACATGGACAAGTCCATCAGAAGCCGTCGATGCGATTCTATTACCGTCAAAAGGACACCAAGCCAAGGCCAAGGGGGGTTTGACATGACCCTCAAACGTTGCAACAATTTTTTCAGCAAAATTATCATTTTCTCGGATTGACCCGCAATCGTACACTAAAATTCCTTTAGTTGTCGTCGCTGCAAACCAGTTACATCGAGGGGAAACGTCGATTTTATCCATAAAAGAATCAGGGTGCCACACGATGCCGTTTAGGCCTTTTTCGTTCGGATAAAGGGTAGTAATAGCCACTAAATCGGTTGTAAGGACCACCAAAGAACCGTCCTTTCCATTTAATAGAAGCAAACTAAAATCCGGCTTCCAAGCGAATTTATAGACGTATAATTTGTCGGAAATGTCCAAACAAACGGGTCCTTGAAATTAATTAGTTAGTTGAAGCCCAAATTTCAATAAATATACCTTGGTCGACCTTTTGCATATCGTAAATGACCATCTTGCCCTCAGCAACTACATAAAGCCCTAAATTATTTGTGTCTCCGTTAACAGGACCCCATTCGACTTTGTAAACTTGGTTGCAGAAATAATGAGGAAATAGAGTGGTTTTCTTCGAAACAAGATCGATAAATCCGACCTACATAGATCAAAAAAAAAAAAAATTTGAACTAGAGATTAAGAATATAATTACTCGTCCTTCTTCAGTCCCGAATCCAAGAACCATTTCTTTAGTGGGATGCCAGGCAATGGTATTTACTTTATGTGTATATTTTGGTTGATATTTCTGCATTGTGATAATTTTCGTATGTGGAAGACTCAAATCCCACACTTTGATACCACCATCTTTCAAACCGATTGCCAGTCTGTTAAAATATTTACTTAAAATAAAATTAACCTCACGTTAAAAAAACAAACCGATTTGGATCTAAAGATGAAGTATCACAACAAGTAATAAACGCAGTTACACACGAAAAACACATCCGTATTTTTTCTGCATCCAAATCAAAATAAACTAAACGTCCGTCTTGGCTCCACGTCCACGCAGTGAGTTCGTGTTTTTCATGCCAGTTAAAAGCAGTCGAGTATTTGGGAGGTGTTACAATGTTAAAAATGAGGGATGAATGTTCAACGTGAACAAGTTTGGATTGTTTGGATCTAGAAATCTAATTTTTGTACAAAAAAATATTTATTTAACATTCATTAGTTACGTTTTTGGTTTGGGCAAAGACCAGGCTAGAAGTTCGCCCTTCGATGAGGAAGTCAACAGTAAATCTGGAGCAATCCAACAGAGAGAAATCCAAGTGTTTTCATTCTTCCTTCGAATATTTGTTTTTTTATTGGTTTGGAAAAATGTCTGCATTCTACCATCAGTCCCTGCTCTCCAGATGTAAACACTTTTGTCTTTTCCACACGAAGCGAGCAAATACTCAGGTCTTGGTTCTTCCTCAATCGATTCTTCAGCTTTTGGAGATTCCTCTACTTTGTCACCGTCTTCTTTATTTTTTGTACATTCTGAAATGTTATCAGGTTTTTCAGTTTCGGATTCTAGAACGCTATCGCATTCCGATTTCTCCGGCGAATCAAACTTCTCCTGAGTTTCTTCTGTTTGATAACTTTTTTCCTCACGTTTATCAATATTTTTTTCATTTCCTTCATCTTTATCTTCAACAACTTCGTAATCCAGAACAGAATCGTCCAGAAAATCACCACTTGGGTCGTACAATTTTGGAAGAGGTCTACCACTGTCCAATTCGTGCAGAAATTCACGTCTATCTTCACGTTCAATTTCGTTTTTTTCATTTTTATCAACGGCTGAGTTATTTACATGCTCAAATTTTTCATTATTAGGCTCTGATTCAAGGCCCAATATTTTACTTTTAAGATTATCACAATCTTTTAAAAAATCTGAGTTTGTTTCCAAGTGAATTTCTTTCTCAATTGAAGTTTCACCATCATCTGCATGTACTAAATTCACCCAAGGATTATTTTTTTCTTTGGTTATAACAGTCTTATCAACTGATTCTGCACCAGAGCTTTCATTTTGTTCACTCTCACTTATTGGTGATTTATTTTTAACTGTATTCTGACCATGTCTGGGAAAAACATTAATTGGTGCTGGACACCAAGAAAGAGAAACAACCGCTTGGTAGTGGCCTCTCAAACTATACAAAACTTGACCATTTCCTGAACAAATTATTTAAGCAAAAAAAAATTTTTTATTCAAAAACTTACGACGTAAATCGGCTACAATCACCACGCCATTGATTAAACCAAAAGCTACTAGCCAACCAGCATGAGGGCAAGACGAAAGACAAGTTAGAGTGACCTTGCTTTTAAATAAATCTTTTAAAGGTTTGGATTCATTTGTATTGATATTCCAGAGGTGTATAAAACCGGTTGATGATGCACTAACGACGCGATCATCACCCGCGAAAACAGCCCCAATTACTGGGTTTTTGTGTTCCTATTATTCTCTCAAATTATTTTCTTTTCTACATATAAACAACAGACTTACCAAATGATCCTTATTTGAGGTTTTTTTCTCGAAAGTGTCCAAATCCCACACCTTAATCACGTTCTCTTCCCCCAGAGATACCACGTACGAATGGGGCTCCTTCCATTTCCTGTTCAAACTAACTGACGTGATACTGAAACATTATTTATAAGAAAATAGTCAAAAAAAAATCAAACTTCAATACAATTTTGAATGAGCTAAATGAATCAATTTAACTTCAGCCGCTTCTTCAGGGTTTTTTTCTCTAATGATAACGATATCACTTTTTGAACCATAAACCAAAGTATTGTCAGGGGCACATGCTACCACCGAATTCCTGTACCAAAGTGGTGCAGGAGGAACCACTAGCTCGTTCATTTCACTAAATTATTAAAAAAATTCACAACAAGAAAATTTTTAAAACGCATTTACTTCGAACCACTTCGAACTTGAACATGTGTTTTGTTCGCGGTTATCGAATTTTTGCGTCCGACAAAAAGTTAGAAGTTGCGAATGTTCTTCAGACCGAAACGCTTTTTAATTTTTTCGAGCATGTAATTAAGTGATCATAATATTCCGTTGTATACTCTTTATCGCATGTGATTGTAATTTAACGACATTTAATTTAACGACTTGTTCTAAATTATTAATGTAATGAAATTCGAATGTTTGACAATTGTCACATGACCACGCGAGAAAAATGTCACCACCATAGAACAAGAGAGAAAGAGAGATGTCAATGTTGTGACGTGGTATCACTGTTATTTTATAAAAAAGAATTCTTTTATTATAATTTTTTTCATAAATCTATAATTGTTTAAAATTATGGAGTTTAAAGTGTTTACTTTGAATTGCTGGTATGTTGTCATTCTCTTTATGTTAGAATTATTTTAGGTACGAATACGATTTTTAGGGGCCTCGCGGTGGTCTCTAAAAACAGAAGACGCCGAATGCAAGCAATAGCTGAGGTGCTAGCAACTAGCCAGTATGATGTAGTTTGCCTCCAAGAAGTATGGCTCAACTCTGACTTCGAGTTAATTAGAAACAAAGTCTCAGGGGTGTTACCTTACTCTCACTATTTCCACAGGTAAAAATTCAAACATTTTAATTAAGACAGCCCTAAATGGATTTTGTAGTGGAGTCACAGGTTCTGGCGTTTGTATTTTATCACGACATCCGATGGAAGACATTTTTTTCCACCAGTGGCCAGTAAATGGTTATATTCATAAAATCCACCATGGTGACTGGTTTGGTGGAAAAGGTGTGGGATTATGTAAATTAAAAGTGAATAATTACACCGTCAACGTGTATTCTGCACATGTAATACTTATTTTAATTGATAGCACAATTAGTTATGAGACATTTTTCAGTTGCATGCAGAATATGATAGAGACTGTGATGAATATCAAGCTCACAGAGTGCTCCAATCTTTCGATACCGCTCAATTTATCCAAATGACGTCAGGAGATGCTGATTTAGTTGTCTTGGCAGGAGATTTAAACACTGAGCCTGGAGATTTAGCATATAGGATAATGTTAAGTGTTCCAGGACTTGTAGACGCATTTAGTGAAGCTGGAGAGTCAGTACAAGATTGTGTGGCTACAAATGAAAGCCTCACAAATAGTTACACACCAGTGGCCTTACTCAAGAAAAACATTCCTGGTAAAAGAATTGACTATATCATGTACCACCCAGGCTCAAATTTACAAATTGATCTAAAAAGCTACACATTGCCATTACCACATAAAATTCCTGAATGTTCATTCAGTTATTCAGACCATGAAGCAATCGCTGCTACATTAATCATCACAAAAAGTGAAATAAGGTCATTGAGAAGTGACCAACACATGAAAAAAAGTGTTCTTGAAGATAGCATAGAAATTTGTGATGACGCACTCAGGAGCTTGAATAATCACAAATATTTGTATTGTTTTTTTACGTTTGTTTTACTAGTCTTGCTGGTTACAACACTGGCAACTGATTTGCCTTTTGGTTATAACTTAAATTTTATTTACCATATTTGGAAAATTTTGATTACACTTTTTATGTTTTATACATTTATGATGGCTACTATTTGGAATAAAATAGAGCGCCATGCTGTGATTGCTGGGAAATTAGGAATGGAGACAGCTTTGAAGAAATTAAAAGCCAAAGATATGTAATTTAATTACATATAAACATTGTTATATCACTAGGTTAATTTAAAGGCCAAGAAATTATCTATATCAATGCTCAGTATAAAATGAACACTAAAAGACCAACAGTATTGTTGCTCATTTTCTATTTTTTAGATATGTATTTTTGTACTGCTTTTTTGCAGGAATTCTTTTTGATTTTTGTTGCTTATGTTATTACCGTTTTTGTTTCGTTACCATTTTAGTATTAAATTTTAAAATAAAGTTTTTCTATTTTCAGTCGTTTTCATACATTTTTCCCGCGGACTTTTGAATTAAATACAACTTTGCCATCTGTTCAACGCCGATTGGTTGACAGATTTGTGTTTATTCTCTTCATAAATGCGGTGTATTACGTGGTGTTCAAGAACTACAATAAAAAATAATCTGATAATACATGAAATAAAGCTTAAGTAAATATTAAATTGGGTTAAAAAAGTGCTGCTGAAAAAGTGTTTTAAGTGTGTTATTAGAGTGCTGTGAAAAACTACTTTCGGATTTTGAGGTTAGGTATGTCATTTTATTTTGTCGGGCTCAAAAATTTTAATTAATTCGTGTTGAAGTAAGCTTTTTTGCACATTTTGTAAGAATTTCATGTCGATAGTTGTATAAGTAAGTATTTTTATCAATATTGGGGGTAATTTCATAACTAATCGATTAGGAAGTGCGTTCACTAACCTTTCAGGTTAATTTTTTAAATTAGATTAGTCCCTGACTTATATTAGTAAATACTGCTTCCGTTTCATCATTCTGTAATCAGTACACGTCATTCTTGTTAGTAATTAGTGCCCTGTTTGCTTTGCAGGACAATATATGATCACAAAATGATTAGAAGCCTTTTTCCGACAGTAATTACTTTATTGTTGATATTTTCGTCGGGATATTCTGAAGTTGACGACTCTGATGAAGTTACAGTAGAGACAGAACAGGAAGAATCAAACATTGACATCCCTTACGAAAGCCCCAGTCCCCTCGACCCTAAAAAAGTCTATTTCGCTGAACATTTTGACGATCCAGACCAGTTTGCAAAACGGTGGATCAAATCCCAAGCGAAAAAAGAAGGAATTTCCGAAGACATTGCAAAATACGATGGAGAGTGGCAAGTCGAATCGGCCCAAAAAGACAGTCTTGTAGGCGACAAAGGTTTAGTTCTTAAATCAAAGGCTAAACACGCTGCAATTGCATCATCTCTTCTAAAACCGTTTATTTTTGATACTAAACCATTAATCGTGCAATATGAAGTAATTTTCCAAGACGGTCAAGAATGTGGTGGAGCCTACTTAAAGTTACTCACTCAAGATTCTCCCAGTAAAAACTTGAACAACTTCCACGATAAAACTCCTTATTCGATCATGTTCGGTCCTGACAAATGCGGTAACGACCACAAACTTCACTTTATTTTCAAGCACCGAAATCCCATCAACGGCAGCGTAGAGGAAAAACATTGCAAAAAACCCAAAGACCGCATTGAGGAAGTCTTTTCTGACAAACTCCCCCACTTGTTCACACTCGTTCTCTATCCTGATAACACATTTGAGATTTTAATCGATAACAAAGTGGTTAATTCGGGAAGTTTGTTAGAGGATTTCACACCGGCAGTAAATCCCCCGAAAGAAATCGACGATCCTAATGACAAGAAACCAGAGGACTGGGATGAAAGAGAAAAAATCCCTGATCCCGATGCTGTGAAACCTGACGATTGGGATGAGGATGCGCCAGCTCAGATCGTTGATGAATCAGCGGTGAAACCGGAAGGATGGTTGGATAATGAACCAACGCATATTTTCGATCCTGATGCAAAGAAACCCGAGGATTGGGATTCAGAAATGGACGGAGAGTGGGAACCACCACTTATCGATAATCCCGCTTGCAAGGATGCTGTCGGCTGTGGACCTTGGGAACCACCACTTATTAACAATCCCGATTATAAGGGAATGTGGAGGGCGCCGCTTATTGATAATCCCAATTACAAAGGAAAATGGAGGCCGCGGAGGATACCGAACCCTGAATTTTTCGAAGATAAACATCCCTTCAAAATGCAGACTGTTGTGAGTATATATTCAAAAAATGATAATGCTTGTTTACCCAGAATGTTTACATCTCATTTGTTTTGATTTTTTTATGAATAAAGTATCTTAGTATGATAAAAAACAATAGGTATACCAAATTTAATTTTTTTTAACATACTTAAAGATTGGTCGTGTAATGATTCATTAAATAAGGAAACTACGTATGCAATTAATTATTGCATTGTTACCTCTAAAAAACGTATACGTACAAAAAAAGAAATGTTTATAAATATTTCTGCAAAAGGATTTAGTTATGTGCGATATGCTAAGTAAGGAAGTACACTTAGCCACACCTAATCGTTTTATGCTTATTTTGGTGAAATTACGTTTGTATTTAGATAAAAATGTTTTGACAATATAAAAAATTGTATTTTTCCCATGTATTCAAGGTTAATTTATCTTGTAAAAGTATTGATAAATGGCTTTTTTGTAGACTGCTGTTGGATTTGAGTTATGGTCAATGTCAAAGGACATTTTCTTCGACAATATTATTATTACCGACGATATTAGCATTGCAAACCATTGGGCAGTTGCCACTTTTGAGAAGAAGAAACAAAAGATCGCTAAGGATTCGGTTAGTATTCGTCTAATTTAAACTTTATTCTTGATTTTTTTGATTAAATAAGAGGACACTATGGGGTCGTCTTATGAAAAAGTTAAACTATAAACCTTTACCGTGGTTTTTATATTTCGTTTATTGTGCCATACCGGTGTGTCTTTACATATGGTACCTCTACTTCTGCGTTCAAGAGGTATTCTTCGTATTGCTAGTATTAGTAGACAGTTTTTTTACGAAATGCTAAAGCAGTTCTCTTTATTTTTTAATGTAGGAAAGCGTAATTCAGAAATTAGCTACCTTGACCAATGATTATCCTTGGCTTTGGGGGGTATACATTATCGTATTAGGCATACCTGTTGTTTTTGTATTATACCTTTGCTGCAAGCCTGGATCCTCTGCTAGTCAAAATCAGGTATAACTGTTGTTTTTATTAAATTTTGCATTATTAATAAAAAAATGATAGGAGAAAGAGGAGCTTCGACAAGCAGCGCAATATAAAAAGACTGATGAAACGACTGAAGATGTTGTAGAAGAAGAAGGTAAAGAAGAAGAAGAAGTAGAGCCTGAAAATCCAGAGGACGACGATAGAGAAAAGAATTCAGGTTCTGATTCCGAGGAAGAGGAATCGGAGGAAAAAACAGAGGTAAGATTTAATCCAAGCATTTCGAAATTGTGGTTTATCTTGTTTTCTCAGGATCAATCACCCAAAGGTACAGGTGATGGTGCGAGGAAACGAAAAGTTCGTAAGGAGTGATAGTCACTTTTATATATCTAGCACCAGCACTGTTGTCATCATGCAACTCTGCAGTTATATTTATTTATGATTGTTTGTTTATTTGCTGTACATGATTCGTTCCATTTTCGATTAATTAGGAAATTTGTACTTTTTAAAGGTATAGTTGTAGTTGTTATGTTTTCGAATAAAGTATTTGACAGCGATCCATTTTACTGAATTTGTAAATAATCAAATGAAGGGCTTAAGGGGAAAGGTATTAAGCTGTTTATTTATTACACAAAATAAAAAAACAGAAACCTATTTTATATAATGTTAATTTTATGGTAACATGTACCATTTCGCCGGCAGCTCTTCAGTTTTACCAGACCAAACCAATTAGCTCGTACTAGTATTGTCATTGGGATAAATTGCATGATTTTTTGCATCAGCGATTTTTCTGTATTATATTTATAATGTCCTGTGATTATGTAATAATTCAGAGGAAAATAAATTACTTAAGTTTATTGTGTGTGGAACTAAAGCTACAATAAATAAACTTAAAAATAATCACTTGTTTTGTTAATATACAGCTGATCTTTAATCCCGGCGCTTTGTGGAATTTCTTGCAATTCTTCAGTCAGTGGTATTTGTTGAGTGTGCGATATCGTCCGACTTCGTCTGTTAAATTCCCGATTTCTGTCCTTGAAAGAGTTATATTTTCGCATTATCTCTAGCTGAACTTCACTGTTCAAGAGGCAATAAACTAAGCTGGCAAAAAGTCCTTGAAATGCTGTAAAAGTCTGATCAAAAAATAACCACATGATTTCAAACGTTTGATCCTCCTTTGCGTAAAAAGATAACACGAACGAAATTGTATAAGGGATCCCAAACAGAGGCACCAAAATTAAAATAGCACGGATGAGTTTTTGATACTTGGTCCAACGTTGCTGAATATACATCGAAGTCAGTTTCACAAAGAGTATTCGTACTATTATTGTAAATAAAATAAAATTAATCTAAAACTTATTATTTCAGTAAATTTAATTTATAAAACTTATAAACTTACAACTACTGTAAGTCCTATAGGAATATCAATCAACATGGCAATGAATTTATTAGATTTTGTTGTCCAACAGTACAGATTTTCATTTCCGGCCTTTAAAATTATCCACGGTATTATGAAAAGTAGGGGGATTCCCCACCCTAAACTGTAATAAATTACAACCCCATTTTCCGAAAGTAATTTCAAAAAGAGCAAGTTGTGTAAATATGCGCCCTCCATCAGAAGAAACATGTAATTTGATATTATGAAATAGTTCCAAAGACTTATCATAGCTTTACAAACCCAAGACTAAATAACAGAAATATAGCAATATTTTCGATTAGAAAATTTTACTCACGAAATTTGTTTTGTTATAAACTAGCTTCCCATTGACATAAATAATTTCATGAGGTAAAGCCGTTCCCTCGATTAATAATCCATCTTTTATTAAAGACATGAAAGCTCTCATTACAAATGAGGCAAATAAATGAATATGAAGCTTATTTCGAGCGCAATGTAATCTCCTAAAAGAAAATCAATTTTCGTTTTATTTCTTATTATTGCACTTACTTGATACGTATGAAGACAAACAAAGCTATAATTAATGAAACTGTTGATAAAATGTACCCACACTGAGTAATATTTTTGATAACTGGTAACCACTTATTATACAGTGTGTGGTCTTGGAGAGAATCATCTAAAATTGGGTAAAATTCAGAAATATTACCACACTGGCTGTAATTAGTCCACGATTTTGATGAATTCTCGTGTACAAACCACTGGCCGTCATTGTCACATTGTTTAGTGGCATAATTCTGAAAAAAATTCCGAATGAATTAAAGTAATGTTAAAAACTACTTACGTTTCTTATAGTCCATTTTATGTATTCGTTGGAGCAGGATTGGTTAGCTAAAACTCCAGCGGGAGTTGGAGGCCAGCACAAGATACCGTCGAAAATTAATTTGCAAAATTTTCCAGTGATTGTTTCGATGGTTTTGCTATTGTAACACTTTCTTTTCGCCGTATTCAAAATGTCCTGATATTCGCTCATCATCCTTGCGATTTTTCTTGCGTTCTGTAAGATGTTATTGGGCGGTATGGTAATATTTCTACTTGTTTACGAACCGACTCCACTTGACATAGATGAATCGACTATTTCTATATTATTAAATCACTTAAATTTCTTCATTACTCTGTAAAAAATCGAAAATTTTGAGATGATCCTTACATAATTGATTGTCACTAGCTGTTTATTTAACAATTATAAATTTAATTAATGATATGATCAGAACGTAAGCAGTATTTTTTCGAATTAATCTTAGATAGTAATAGGTAAATATTTGTTATTGCTTTCAATCTGATTGATTGCTCTATAATTGCGTTCCAAAGCGCAAAATTTGAATTTGACGCGCAAAAAAACTGTCAAAAAATGAGGTTATGTTTACATGTTTTTTGAATAGCTCAGTTTCATTTAATAATAATGCCCAAAATAAAGCTTGACCACGTTGTTAGCTTCAGCAGCGAAGATTCTGTAAGTTCTCTGTATATACAAATAATAACTTTCCAAAAAAATATTTAAGGTACACGTCGCAAATAACGTTTTAAACAGCGATCCCGCTAAAAAGTGGAAATGTAAAGATACCGGCGAAAGATCGGCCACAATTGTCCTCCAATTCGAAAAAGCCTCCGTAATATCAGCAGTTGACATAGGAAATGAAAATTCTGCATATATTGAAGTACTAGCTTCAAGATCAGGGACCACAGATGATTTCAAAGTTTTATTAGTAATGTCTTCTTTCATGACCCCTTTAGAGGCGCGCCAAGGGTCTAATCCCAATAAAGTGCGAATGTTTACACAAGATCATTTGTCTAAACCAGAGTGTGAACAAAAGTGGGACAGAGTCAAAATAGTTTGCACTCAACCTTTCAACAGACATGTTCAATATGGATTGTCTTTTATCACTTTTCATACTCCTGGAGACAAGGCAAATGGGACTCCAGTTCAGACAACCATAGGAAAATTCGCACTAAGGCCTGACTCGCCCGATAATTTAACATCAGGAAGTTTATTTGCTAGAAGACAGGAATTTCAAAAAGAGCCCCTTTCTGCAGCAGCGGCAATTAGAGAAGCTTCCTCATCACCAATAACAAAACCAAAGTTAAAGATAAACAACACATCACAAAGTAATAACAATACAGATAATAAACCTGTACCTAGAAATAGAAACGAAATTCTCTACAGTAAGGATGAGGAAGAACCACATGAAAAAATTGATAAAATCATTGAAAAGAAACAAAATGAAAAGAAAGTGAAAGAAGAGACAACAACTAAAAAAAATTTCTCTCCTAGACCCAGAGTTTCAGGAGAGACAAGCAAAAGAAAACACGAATCTGCCAAAAAAGAGAGTCCTAAGAAAAAAATTAAAATAGAAAAACAGAGAAAACCCTTTGCAGAATTATTGAGAGGTATTACATTGGTTATTAGTGGGATCCAAAATCCTGACAGAGGAAATTTAAGAGCGATGGCGTTGGAAATGGGGGCAAAATATAAACCCGACTGGGACAACTCTTGCACACATTTAATGTTAGAATATTTGGTTTATTAGAATTAACTATTAACAATTTTATTCACAGATGTGCCTTCACAAATACCCCCAAATTCAATCAAGTTAAAGGCAAGGGTAAAATCGTTAAAAGAAATTGGATTGAAGAATGTCACTCTCAAAGAAAGCGTCTGCCTTGGCGGCGATTTTGTTTGGATAAAAATGATGCAAAACAACCAGAAAGTGAGGACGAAATATGGGAGGAAGTCGAACAAAAAATCGAGGATGATAGTACTGATGATGAGGGGTTTGATGACACAAAGTGAGTATCTTCGTTATTTTTTATTTTGTGTTTTTATGTCGATGAAATTTAGAATGCAAAAAAGAATAAAAGAAATTCAAGCAAAACAAAAAGAAAAATCTCGGGAGAAGGAGAATAATTTATTTTCGCAAGATACAGATGAAGAAAAAATCGAGTCAAAGCAGGACGATGAGATGATAAAGAAATTACCTGGGTTTTTAGACTTTAAGACATTTTTCATTGATGAATGTCTTGATAAAGATGTTGTAAAGACTTTAGAAAGATATATAATAGCGTACAATGGGTACGAAGGTAAATGCTCTTTTGGCTTTTAATTACAATTATTTATGATTACAGAATTGTTGCTGAAAACCCATCAGAGGACGTTGATTATTTTATAACATCTGAAAATAACGCTAAAAATTTAAAATCCTATAATTCCAGAGCTATATGTTTGAGACCCGACTGGTTATGGGACTGTCATAATAACCAAAAATTAGTTTCCACCGTTGATTATGTATTATAATGAGGTAAGCAGCCTATTTATTTTTCTAAATAAATGAAGAAAATTTAATACTCTAAGTAAAACGCTAGACCCGCCTGAATCCATTTATCCTTGTCTCTGCCATCGCATAAAACTTGCAACGTAGTTAGTTGTTTTTCTCTCCTGGATGTGTAATATAACGGAATATTAACGTATTTATCATTATCCATTACATTTTTCTAAAAGAAATTGATGCTTAGTCAATTTAATTAAATTAGTTTTTACCTTTTCCTTCCAACTGATGTAACAATTGGGTGCAGAATTAATACTCTCAGAGTGAGGTAAACAGGGCTTCAAGACAGTTCCTTCAAATAAACCGCCCTCGACGAGTAGTTCGGTTAAAATTATGTGATTTTTGTTAGCTGGAGCTTTCCAGTTTGACTCCAAGTCGAGTTGATCCATTGGTGTTTTACTTGCCCTAAACATTTTTTTTTGTTAAGAATTAATTTTTAGTATTATTTACCTAGAATATTCTTGTTTGTATGAAGCCAAAAACGCACTTGGGTGCAAGTAGAAGGACAAATTGAGAGGATTTTGCAAAATTTGTTCCGATTTTAAATCCTTCAGTTTCAGAATATTTGCTGTTTTTATGATAACACTTCGTAAATACCGATTGGGGTCTTTTGGGCCTTCCCAGATTGACTCCCAACATTTAGGAACCTAAAAAAATCAACAATTTGGAAATTAATTAAATTCAAAAACGTCTTACTTGATAATTAATCAACGAATTTCCAATAATTAAATCACAATCGTCTGGTATCGCATTTCCTTTACATATCTTATTCAGGCTGGTGAAATTCTTGTGAATTTTTTGAATCAAATTAATTGCGTGATAAAACTCCTCATTAATAAAAGCCTCAATCGAAGTCTTTCCTGTCACTTCATTTGGTAAATTCATTCGGACAAAATCATGTCCTTGATTCAGTTTTTTCCACAAAAGCATAAAAGGTGCCAGACTTTTATGCCAAAACTCGCGATCAAATTTCAAAGACACTTCTTTACACAACAAAATAGTTTTCAATTTTGCGACAACATCATTCGCAATTTGTTTTTCCCAAGCCCGGCCTATGTTTTCTGGCAGTCCGAAAAACGACGGTGAGTCTCTTTCAGGCAACTGTTTGAGAGCGCTAACATATTCCTGAAATTTCGAAGAACTGGGGAGAATTATTTTAGTCCCTAGGGGACTCCAGCGATGACTCAAAACCTCATCGACTAGATACTGCCTCAAGTAAGTCTTCAAAATCCCCAAATCGTCGATATTTTCAATCCTGCCACCGTAAACAGCGTCACAACACAAGCCGTAAATGAATTTCCATTGCACTTGAGGCGATTGACTTTGCCATAGATCCTCAACGAGTTTCACGCAAGTAACCAAATCGGTGTCACTGAATTCGTACCACCTGGACCATCCTTGTGGAATGTAAGTCCTCCGTTCTTGCAAAATTGCATGAATGCAAGCCAAAACGAAGAAAATCCGGCCTGGCGTCGGCTGCAGTTTATCGATATATCGATTCCCCCACGAGTTGAATGTTCTGAGGAGATTATTTCTCAAACCTTGGGGTGCCTCATAGACGACTTTGAGACTATTTTGAGCCAAGACAAAATTAAAGGAGGGGTTCGGTTCTGTGATTAGCCACAGCCGAAAATTTTCGTGCGGCTTCAAATTTTGCAAATTTTGACTCAAAATTGGTAACCAACTGGTTACCAAATGTAGATTTTTCAAAATGAGCCATTGGCCGGCCTGTGCTGTTTTTTCTAAAGACGCCAGAGCTTTAGTTTCTTGACCCTCTCCCATCGCTACTTCCACTAGTTCATTCGGAGCTAAATCGCGTATTTCTGAAGAAGGGTCAGTCCCAGCAACTGTTAGAATCAAAATAGATTCAGATGACGTTGATTCTTTATAAATTTGAGTCAAGTCAAAAACCGGAGGATCGATACTTCGTAGTCCAGTTGTGTGCAAGACGCACTGAGACATGGCAGAATATGCACGATCAGGACGTAAAGTTTGCACAATTAGTAGTTTTTCAAATTCGCTGAGTTTGCAATGGGAGGGTAACTCCTTTTCACAGGAATCCGACATCATGAATTTCTTCCACAAACTCTGTTCTTCTAATTGGAGGTTTTTGTATAATTCAGGTAGTGAAGCTTGAAGATTTTGCACATTTTGGAAACAATGCTTCGGTATCCAGGCAGGAATATCCTCTGGATCGTTCCGACCGGTGATAGAATTGCCAAGAAAGTGTCTCCATTGATCCGATGGAACCGAATATAATTTTTGCATTAAATGTAAACCGAATGTGAGTCGATCTGTTTTCATAATGCTACGGCTTACGTAAGTGTAAACGGTGAAAAAGAGGTGTCTTTTTTGACTCTCAGTTGTACTTTCCATTCCCTGAATTAAAAATTAGTTTGATTTTTTTTTATTGGAGTTGTACCTGAAATGTTTGAAGCGATGTCAAGAATAATAGAATAAAACCTGACACTGATAAAACGTAAAGAATGTTAAATTTGGAGAATTCGTTGCAAGCGAAGTATAAGTAACTCCCAAACATTGAAATTTCTTTGTAAACTTCGTATCCAATTTGGAGTTTCTTCTGGATTTGGAGCGACTCTTCCAAAGCGTTTGAAATTGCGCTGGAGCTCGCTTTAGTCTCATTCAAGGAAGATAACAAATTCTAAACAAGTTTCTTTAGAATAAAAAAAAAACAGATTTATTGTTAAATATACGTACAGAATTCTGTAAAATATCTCCCGAAGAGTTGGTGAGGTCTTCAAGTAGTTGATTTTGCAGCTGGTATTGTTTCTCCTGCAATTCTTCTCTTTGGCGTAACAATTGTTTCCGTTTATTCTCCATTTCCGGATTTTCTTGCCTGATTGTACAAGAAAGTAATTGTTCGGTCAACCCGGCATGGGTTACAGTAAAATTCATAGTAGAAACGATAGCATTAATATCAGCACCCACTTTTAATTGTTCATTTCGACTACTCAAAATCATAGTAAAATCATTGTGATAATCAATTAACTTCCCGTTAAGGTAAATAAGTTTTCTTTCACCTTGATAAACAAATTCTTTTCTTAAAAGAGGGAATAAAATCGAGGAAACGTTGTCAATTTCCTCGATTACTAAAACTTTGCCAAATCTCACCGCTAATTCTAAATTATTGTTAAATTTGGGATTATTTTGCGTCACTGTTTCGATTTGTCGATGTTTAAAATGATTTCTGAACCAGTTGATTGCATTAGAAGTGGGGTCAATCAATAATGGGGTTACTCTTGCCTGCAAACATTAATTTTTTTAAATTTCAGAATAAAAAGCATTATACAGACTTTTAAAATGATTATCGCGTTTTGTAGAGATAACTGGTCACAGGCGAGGCCCTCGCTTTGCCACTGCAAATGTTCGCGTTCTGTTGACAAAAATTCCTCAAAACTAAACGAATCAACTGCTAGTTCTTTAATCCAACGCTCTAAAATAATTCTAAAATCGTTTTGATTAAAATTTGTAACGAGTAAATTCAGGTAAACCTTCGTCCTTCCTCAGGCTCGTCCGACAAATACGTGATAAAAGCAGCAGCTAGTGAGCAATTTTCAGGCAATTTATCAATCTCTTGTGACAAATCTTTTAACTGTTGTTGCCACCTCTGGTACTCATCGTTCAGTTTAAAAACTAATCCTTCCGCCGCCATTAGAGTTTCGCGAGCTTTATTCAAATCAATTTCAATTTCTGCTGCTTCCTTCGTGTATGCAGAAAGTTGAACTTTCAGTTTTGCGACTGTAGCATCAACGTCAGACAAGCCGGCGCTTAGTTCTCCCAATTGGGTTTCAGCACTCACCAAATTTCTAAAAAAAAAAAATAAATCCAAATTTAGACACACGAAAAAGTTACTCTTGTAATTTATTTTGTTCCCTCTCCAAAGGCTTGATTTTTTCTACCACATGTGAGTATTTTACATTTGCGCCCACCCAAGATGCTAGTGGTGCAGCCGCAACTGACGCTCTTTTAGCCGATTTGGGATCAAACGAATCGCTTTTATTCGCCATTAATCTCTCGACGGCTTGTCTATTCTCTTTCGTAATCCTAGTCGCATCAAACGATCTTATTTCTTCTTTCACACCTCTTTTCGCAAGGAACGTTTTCATGCTGTTCCAAGACGTATCTTGAATCCCCATCAATCTTAAAACACCTTCCAAAATATCTCGAATCACATCAGGAGGTGCCCGCAAAGAGCGAATTTCCGATAACGCTTCTGATTTTATATTTCCAACAGCAGATCTTGCTTCTTGTATTAGAGGTTCGACATCTGCAAGCTCCAATTCGATTTCTTTTTTTCGTACCATTAATTGTTTGTTTTCTTCTTCGGTCTTGTGTTTTAGGACTTCCATTTCTTCTTTGTGAGTATTGGCGTTTTTCATGGTATTGCTTATCATGTCGAGCGCAGTGTTAGCTTTGGCTTGTTTTTCCGCCAGCTTATTTTGTTGTTCAGCAGCTTTTTGCTTGAGTGTAGCCACCAAATTCCCAGCTTCGTTTAATTTGTCCACCCCAGCTTGTAATTTGAATTGTTTTGAAACTATAGCTGATTTTTTATCGATAAAAATCTCAATGTAGAGTTTGATCATTGCAATGAATCGCGCAGGAGCCCCCATTTTTTCTTTAATTAATTCAAAAATTTTAAGGAAGTTGTTAAAAGGTTGTACCTCATTTTTAGCATCACTGTTATTAGCTCTGGAAAAATAAATATTTTTGATACCAAAACCATTAACTTTGATTTACTGTACTTGTTTATCAGTAGATTTGGAATTAAACGGATAGTCTCAATACACCATTCCGTTTTCCAAATTATCATACTCTTATAAAGAAATGCAGGACAGTTTTCAAAAATATCATAGATATTGTCATTATCAACATCGATGCACGCAATCACGTGTAATCGTTTTTTCACACCTGAAATTTCAAATTTAAATGTTTTAAACTCTCATAAATAAAAATTACGTTCAGTAAAAAATTCCATCAAATTCCCTTCAAAATTTTCTCGACTTGCCTCATCTTTTAATCCAGAAATCATTGACTCAATTTCAGCAGCATTATATAAATTAACCACCTAAAATTTTCTTTGAAATTTCATTTAAAATAAACCGAAACATTACCTCCCCAGCCGATATTAAAATATTAACTAAACTCAAAATATGTTTCTGATTAAAAATGTGATCTTCAAGCAACAAGTAAACCTGTTCCCCTTCAAATCCAGCTGATTGTATTGCCTGGCAAAGAGAGGTAAATGTTGTTTAACAAAATTACAAAACTTACAGATTTTAAATCATTATTAAATTGTGGTTGTGTCCCACTTATCGGAATTATCAAATGAGCGGACTGTAGAGAGGAAATTATTTTTACTGCTGATTTTCGTCCAATTCCAGCTCTTCCAACTAAAACAGTATGTCCTTCTGGGGCACTTAAAATTTTCGAAATACTAGCACTCAAATGAAGCAATTCGTTGTTTACTAGGACGTCAAGATCTTGTCCTTCGCGACCTGAAAACGAACAGTTGGTGTTAGCTCGAGAATTTTGGGACTTACAACCGTATTGGATTATGCCTTTTTTTACGGTTGCACTCCACTCTTCCTGATTTAATTTCTGAAGGTAGAAATTTTCAGAATTAGATGAATATTGAGGAGCTGGAACGTAGAAATAATTCTGAACGTTTCTCAAATTTGATGAACTCCACTGAGTTTTGAAAACTTCATTAAGAATATGTTCGAGTTTAAAACAGTCTTCGTCACGTACTAATTTATCCCCAAATTGTTTAAGAGCTTCGTAATATAGGATTTCTAAAAGGGAATTTTCTGATTCAGAAAGAGTATCTTTATAGCGTAAAATCGAGGAACACCAATTAGTGAGATCGTGAGGGCTAAAATCGTAATGTTTGTAATTTGTAATTAAAAAAATTGAACGAATCTAAAAAAAACGTTTTATGAAAAATTTTGATTAATAATCAAATTACTTTGTCGTAAATTATGACCATTGTGGCTGCTAACTTAACGATCTTAGCTTTAGGCCAAGATCCTAAACTTTCCTTAACCACAACTGTTAAATATGCCACTAAAATAATTGCCAAATCTTCTGGGTCTGGTAGACTAGAATTTTTATTATTTTGCTCCTTGAGTTTCTAAAAATGCGAATTTTTACCTGACATTGTAATTATGTACAATGGACGTAAATCTGGTCGATAGAGTGGTCGTAATGGATAAAGAGCCCACAATTGTGATCCCTTCATATCCTACTAGCTCTAAATTGGAATCAAAGAAAGCTCTGTAAGTAATCATCTAAAACAAGACAGAATGTGTCAAACACGTTACAAATGTTAAGTCAATTGTACAGAAATTTGTTCAAAAACCCCCAAACTCGTAAGTCAAATGTATCCCCGAAGTTTGTGAAATTTTACATTAGTTATAGAGTCCGAAAAATCTGGAGCTGACCAAATTGACCTTAAAGTATCCGAAATGGAACAAAAAATTTCCCGTCTTGAAGAACAAAATGAAGAATTGAGAAAACAGCTAGAATACAATCGTAATAAGGAAGCAGCATTACAAAAGGTGCTTTGCAATTACGACAACCTTCTTAAAAAAGTCATAATGGAAAGAAACAACAAAACCCAAGATGACTCCTCATTTCATTTGACTAACCTTGAGACTGCTTTTTACGATTTACTGCGTAAATATGAGAAAGCAAAACTTGTAGTTCACGATTTTCAACAGAACGAGACCGCTTTAAAAAAGCAAGTAATAGAATATGAAGATATTCTCGAAAATTTGCGGACAAAATTTGTGGCTTACAAGTCAGTTTCTGACAAAAAAGTTACAGATACGAAACATTTGCCATTAAAAAAGACGAAAAGTTGTGACAATAGCAAGACTAAAAAGCGTTTAATGACTACAATTTAATGTTTACCTGATTTAGAAATTCAATGACGATGTTTGTCCCCCATTTATCTGGTTTCAATAAATGTAGATTTTTGAAATAAAGGACCAAATTGCCTTTTTTTGGTTTGTAAACTTTGCCTTTATTTGTATTGACCACAATGCAAAGTTGGGCAATTTTGTTGATAACGTAGCTCGGCACTAAATTGGCACTGCAGTGAATTGTTGCCATTTCCATGTCTGATCTTTCCTTAACCAAATTTTCCAAAATCAACCTGAATGACATTTTTAAGTTTGTTTTTTGTTAAAGAAAAAAAACATACGATTTGGCAGAGCCGTGAGGTCCTATTAATAAAAAGTGTTGTTCATTTCCTGGAATAAGCCAAGTTCGCAAATAATCCAAACTTTTGGTCACATCCCCGGTTGGTATTAACGGAATTTGTCTACTCACAACATCCAAAGTTACATTTGGATTTGTATAGTAAGTGTCAATAATATCCCGTTCTTGATTGTAGCGAGATTTTAAAATAATCGGTGGTGGGACTTCTCCCAACCATTCGTAAACCTGTTGTGCAAAAAGCTCTCTGAAGTCATCCTGAAGTTGTTGTCCCAATCCGTTGACTAAAGCAACTGAAAATTCCGTCTTGCCTTTAACACCAAACAACTGACTTAAGCCAGTTCTAGCAACTGCAATTTTAGAAGTTGGAATTGTGATTTCAGCTTCATTACAAATCCAATTAACACTTTTAAGAAAATAGTCATTAATGTATGAGCCTAAGAGGCGTTCAAACTCTTCCGGTTGTGCCTTTACGTAATTGTCAATGTAACAGTTTAAATCTAAATCTTGTTCGCTTAATAAGACGATTCCCATTCGAGAAATAGTCGCAGGTGAAGCATGACTCAAGTCATGTGTTTCAAAAATGAAATTAACGTTTGGTCCAAATTGGACGCGCCAGCCTGATGGTAGTGATAAGAGGCGATTGTCGTCGAGGACCGAATTGAGGGATTCCACCCATTCTGGATCGATGTTCCCATCACAGACAATCCAAGACCACACGTCTATAAAAATATGGTAAAAAGTTTTTAAATTATTTGGAAAATTGAATTACCAGAAGATTCCGCTGTTACTTGAAGGCTGTACAAGGTTAAAACACCATCATACCATTGTCTCGTATCCAAATCAATTTGGCCGAGTAATTTGGTTTTGTGCATACTTTTGGGATTAAAGACATGCTGTTTCAAAACCTTGTCCATCTTATTTAAAGCCTGGAATAATATTTTTTATCATTTGTTTGTGTTAATGAACGAATTACATTGAACAAGAGTCTCCGAATTGTGCTTTTTCCCGAACTCGGAGGTCCAACTATAGCAACTCCCATCCGTTGTTTCAGTTGTTCGTACAATTCCAAACACTTTTCGATTTGTCGTTGATTGACTGCTAGTTTCAACTCCCGACAACTCTCCTCTAAAGCTTTGACCAAAACTTCATTCCCCATATTTTCGATCAGAACATCTTTAAAAATATCCTTAATTAAAGCATCAAACTTAACACTATCTGCAAAAGTCAGTTTGGACAACGTATCCATTCGCAAAACTTTAACAACAAGAGTGAGTTCCGTAAGTAATTGATTTCCTTCCGCTTCTTCAGTTTTCTTTCTGTATTGTTTCAAAGCCCTTCCGCAGCTTGTCAGAATTGTCCTGATTGCTCTTAGCCCCCAATCGTAGTGTTGTTGTTTACTCAACAATTTGCTTGACGCATCAAAAATCGCAATCAACTTCTGGCCGATAATATCAGCATTTTGATATCCGTCGCAGTGGAGTAAAGTCCTTGCAATTTGTTCATGATCCGGATGTGTCATCACAACGGGTCGGAACAGTTGTTTCAGATTGTCCGGAAGTTTGTTCCGGCCTCCGTAACTCCCACCTGCGGGATTAAGCGTGACGAAAATCCCACAATGTTTATCAACTGTTATTTCCTGGTCCAGCAAGACTAATTTTTCTTGGTGCGTTCTGAGCGCGGTTTGGATAGGCTGTATTTGCATCGAAACCGCTGATAGAGTAGCCTCATCAAGGCGGTTGAACTCATCAAAACACCCCCAAGCCCCACTCCTGACAAGTCCTGACAAAATGCGACCCATTGAAGACGCGTCTATGCCTTCATCACAGTTAAAAACTAGGACTTGTCGTCCGAGGAGCCCTCCTAGCGCTTTGACGGACTCGGTTTTCCCAGTTCCCGCGGGACCATAAGGATTGCCACCCATTCCCAAGTGCATTCCTTGAGTTAGAGTCAGGAAACATCGATCTGTTAGAGGCGTTCGTACCAATTTTGGCATATTTCCTAAATACTCGTAGGCATAGTCCATGCGAGCGTTTGCCATTTTAACGGTTATTTCACCCAAAGAGTTTGAGTAGAATCTCAGTTGTTTTTGCCAAACCCAGTCTGTTGTTTTGGTAGCATTTACATCTAGAAGTTCTCCAAGAACGTCAATGTGGTGAATCGTATCCAAAAGTAAAGCTTTCAATTTTAATTCAAGAATATTACTTTCGTTGTTTTTATCAGCAGATAATGACGCAAAAGCTGTTTCTTCACTTGCTGTCAATTCAAGTGAACTAAAGTGAGTCAGTTGTGCTTTGTAATAAGCAAGTACGGGTGGTAAGGTCATGTTAGCTATTGCTTGTTCAGTTTTTAGTGTAAAAGTGATGTTGTCTGCGAGACATAAGACTTGTGAAGGGTATTTTAGAGGATCAGCATTTTGGCCTTCGGCGAGACACTCAACCAAAAGTTCTTTCAAAGTCGATTGCATCTCTTTTACCAGAGAGTTCAACCAGTCTTCAACTGGTCTATTTATACTGACAGGGTTTAATAAAGGGACAATTTCGCCCTGTAGCGAACACATTGCAGTAATTTTTTTACTCTCACTATCCAATTGAATACTATTTATGCCAGCAAATAATTTTTTGAGATGGGTTTGAATGACCTGTTCTTTCGACGATTGACCTACCACCTCTAACAAATCGTCGTCGCCGAGGAAAAGGAAACGAGGGAATTTATTTCGTTTTTCCTGTAACGTGAAGAGTGTAAAGTGTGTTAACAGTTTGAAAAATTACCAAAAGGAAACTGTCCAAACTTTTTTGACACCGATTTAACTGATCCTCGAGATTTTTTAATGTTACACTCAAATTTTGGTATCTGCACAAAGAAGACACTCGAGGGTCTCTTTCAATAAACACTAATACGTGATGGAAATCTTTATCGATTTTGTCAAATCGGGTTTTTTCTTGAATTAAGGTACCGCCGCCGAAAATCGGTTCCAGATAAACCCATCTAAAAACGGTAGGTACTGAAACAAAGATTTTTTAAATTGAATTTTAAATTACTTTCGCTGGATTTGTGCCAAGAGTGAGAGATTCTGATCTAACATTGCTAATTTATTTTCCCAAAGACTTGCCCTTTCTGAGTAACTGTCATAATCCGCAGAATTTTTTACCGATTGTAACAAACTCTGATTGTCCCCGATCTACACAAAGAAATTTTTATTTAGAAAAAGTTTATTCGAAGATTACCTTGCTCAAAATCTCTTTGAAGTCTTTGACCAACATGATGTTTTTATTCCGGGAATCTGTATGGGATGTTAGGATAAATCTGGCTTGAACATCCCATTGGTCAAGCTCAGCTAAAGCTTGGCGTACAACTATCTCACTTGCTGCTTTTTTACAAATCACCTAAAATAGTACCTACTGTATTTTTTTTCAAATTTTGTAAATAACAAACTTGTAATTCTTTAACTAACGCAGTCAACTTGTCTGACACATCAAGAAAGTTTTTGAATTTTAAATTGTCTAAAGGTTTCAGAGGCATTTCGAGTAGATTAAATACATCCATCCAATGTTTCTCTGTAAAATCTTCTCCTCTTACATACTTCAGAGACCCCGCAATACCCTAAAATTATCTTTTAAAAAACATTTGGGCAAATGAAAGTAATTACTTCAAATTTCTGTATTTCGTGCAAAATTTTTACTTGTAGAGCATTTCCATTACTAGTATTTTTTAATTTTGTTTGCCAGTTATATAGGAAGTCTTCAAAACGGTACAACTTTTTCCTGAACACTATCCAATCCTCACTAGTCATTGTTTCAAGCTCGTTGTAAAACTCCTCAAACAGTGTCCACGAATCTTCCTCTTTCTTTAAATCGGCTTCGATTTCTTTCATTAGCTCTAATTGTGGCTTCTCAATATTAAATTTTTCATAATCACTGAACAATTTTTCTTTCTTTTCCGTCAAGTCCTGCCATTGTACTTTTTTTTCTTTGATACTCATCAACTGTTTGTACAATTCGTCTAAAGTCTGGTCGGAAATTTGCCCAGTATGTGGTTTAGGCTTAACCTGTTCCCATTTTGCTGCAAACCTTTCCATTTCTTTTTCCAAATTTTCGCTTTCAATATTTAGGGTTGTTTTAATAGTTTCCATTTGTTTGGCAATGATGTGTTGATGGTTTTCTAAGAGGCTTTGAAGCCTTTCCCACGCACCTTTAAGCCGATTCACTGCATCGACTTGTTCTCTCGTCCAACTGGATAAAGTTTGCGATTTTTGAATCATTTGATTGTAACACTCTTCCATCTAAAACAATGTCAATAATTTCAATCCTCACCGACGATATTCATACTTCTGCTGCTTGTTTCAAAATGTTAGCATGTGCAGCTCCCGACTCTCCAATTTCCTCAACAGTGACTGGTTGTCTTGTCAAAACTGCAGTAGAGGGGTCAACGTAATTTTGTAACTTGACAACATCTTGTGCTATTGAATCTTTAAGAGAGAAGACTAATTGATCCCAATAACTTCGATTATGAGACTCTAAATCGGAACGCAATCTTGAAAGTCCGATCAAAAAACATCCAATTCGTTCCTCGGTACTAAAATGAGTCATTTTGCATGGATTATTTTACAAAAAGAAGGTTAAAAACCTCGGCAATTTTGCGATTTCCTGCCCAAACGTTTTAGATGCCCTAAAATGTAAATCCCAATGTTGCCAAGTGCTTAATTTTTGAACATCAAGAGAGTCCAACTGAAGCCACGATTGCCAATGCTTTAAAACATTGTCAAGTTGTTCAAAAAGTTCCAAAGTGTGTTTATTGACTTTTTCTACTTGATTTTGATTCTGATCGATAATTTCGGAAAAAATTGTCACGTCAGGTAAATCAGAAACGCCTTTAAATGACTTAGGAATGTCCAAAAATCGTTTCAATTGTTGCTGATATTTTTCCATCAAGACTGTTTTATCGGGCGAAAACTGTAATTCCGATTTTCTATATACGATGTCGGTGTAAATTTCAGGCAAATAGAGATGAAGCGTGTCCAAACTCTTAAGATATTGTTTTTCTAGGACCTGACAGAGATTTGAATCAACATCCGCTTTCCAAGTCTGCATGTTTTTGAAACCTTTCTCTTCAACTTGTAACATGATATTTCGCATGTTCCTTATTGCCTCCTTCCATTTACTGTAATCTTTGATTAAATCAACATCCTCCAAATATTTAGTCTAAAATTAACCAAATCAAAAGATTGACAAGAACCGAACTTTAGAATACTTTATCCATAATTTGGTAATAATAAGATGCTAAAAGATTATTCTCTTTTGATAATTTTTCTACGGCATTCTTGAGTGTCTCAACATATTTTTCCACCGATTTTGTATTTTTCCACGAAACTACTTCTTCCTCTTGTACCAAACGAGACAATTCTAAAGCACTGGATAGCATCATAGGGCGTTGACAAATAATCATTCTACTTCCGATTGTATTATGAAAATTTGCGATCTACAATTTAAAGAATTATATGCTTTTCGGATAAATTAGTGAGTACCTGTTCTAGAGTACGCGCCAACTTCATAAATTTCTTTGCTTGTTCACTAGTTTCATCGATATGGTTTGGAATCTGATAACCCAAAGCTTTAAATTGTCTAACTTCCGAAATAAGAGTAACCAAACGATCCGAATAATTAACTTTCATAAGTTTGCTCTCTTGCGAAAATTGGACAACAGGTTCCGACTCTTTCAAATCTAAAATACCTTTTTTGATCAAAGAACTGATTTCTCGTGTCCAGGATTCAAACAGTTCGGTATGCTGCTGTCTCAGATCTTTGAGTAATTCGCTCACTATCTGTTTCAAATTTTCGTAACCATTTAAATCTTGTAATAATTTTTCCGAAGTTTGTAACACTTCATTAGCTTTCGCTTCCAATTGTTTGGTCATAATTACTTCAGCCACGACTTGTGGAGTGTCATATTTAATATTTAAGTTATTTTCAGAAGTATTTTGTGATTGGAGATGTCTAACGTAGTCGTAGAGTGAGTTTAGTAAGTGTTGGCGTTCAGAGAGAAGAGTTTGTTTTAAAATCGGTCTTCCAATCAACTCCGAGTATCTTGTGAATTCGTGAAGAAGTTGTCGAGGATTGTCACTGTCTACCAAGTGTTTTTTTAGTTTGGCTGCAACTCTTTCTTCAGCTGGCTGGAGTAAGCGTTCGAATTGTTCGCAAGCTTTTAGCCATAAATTTGAAGAGTACTGACCAAACTCGAGGATACTAAGGTCTAAAAAACTTGATAAAATCTCCGTAAAATACTCAAGAGTTATTTACTTTTGAATGGCTTGAACATTTCGTTAGTTTTCAATTCTTCTTGTTCTTGTGAATTTAATAATCGTGTCAGTTGCCTTAAAAGAGTTTGAACGCTCAAAATCTGAAAAATGTGAATCAAATCACCGGAAACCGTATCTATTATTTTACTTTTTGTAGGCGCTCAACGAGTTTGATTAAATCTGAGGGTTGATACATTTCATCTTTCCACATATTCGAAGGATAATTCGGCCAGTATATTTCAGTCAATTGTTTACAGCTTTCGAGCCAACGTTCCCCTATTGAAATACATTGTAGCAAAACTTCCGCTACTGTTTTATAATTATCACCCCAAACGTCACACTCGGATAACTGTTTCGACACGCAACGTTTTATGTCCCCGGCTAAAAACTCAAATGTGCCACAATTTTAGATACAATTTCATGAGTACCTATTATATCCATGAGGTGAATAATTCTTTCTGCAGGATATGGGGCTGGCTCGTGGCGCCATAAGTCGTCTAAAATGCCATGTGCGTTTTCCAAGATTTCTTCAACTTCGTTCAAAGGCAATGCATCAAGGATGCTAAAAAAATTACTCACAACTAACGGGCGAAAAGTGAAAAAATGCCCACCTGAATTCCTTAGAAATTCGTTTCAGGATTTCAGAAAAAGACCCAGCATTACTACGGGTAAGCCTATTTTTCGCTGAACGGGAAACATTATCCCAATATTCCACTTCATTCTCGACTGATTCGACGACTGTAATACAGGAAATAGGTAAAAAAATAAATTTTGAAAAGACTCTACCATATAGTGAAACTGGATCTGAACCTGTCAAATCAGCATCATTCGTTGTTGATAAAATTGACGATCTTAAATCTGCCTGTAAATTTGCAACGTGACGTTGAATTTCTGGGGGAGTTCCCTGGAATTTTTTCAAATAAATTTTTAAAACGTATAAAATTGACCTCAACCTGTGTTAAGAGTGGCGTAAACACTTTAGTTAGAGTGTGGTATAGAGCTAAAGTTGGTGGTCCTTTGACTGAAGTGATTTGCAGACAAGAAAAAATGTTTTCTTCAGTTAAAACAGTCGGTGTGATTTTAGTGAAGACGACAATTTTGGTATCGTTGCTTGTGATTTGCTCGACAAATTTGATACTTTTTCGGTCATTTTTTTCCTCAACGAAGGCGTAAAGTGTTAATTTGTCTTCGGTGTGTAGGAAGTTTTCCACATCAGTGATCCCAATTATGTCTTTATCCCAAGTTTCTTCAGACAATGAAGTACCCAAGTGATACTCTGATGAGACAATTAGTTTTGTAAAGTTTTACAAAAAATAAATTTACCTGAGGCTTTTATTATAAATTTTTTGTTAAAGTCACTCATTTTGCACACCTGGATGATTGTTTGGTATTACAAGTTGGGTCGCCTAGGAGACGGTGTATGAAAACATCGGTTTGAATTTATAAACGCTCTTTATTGAAAAAACATCACAATCAGTGTTTGAATTTATAGCCAAAATCGGTTTCTAGAATCTCCAAGACCTTAGCATGAGTGTCTTGAATGGGATATTGGGAATAAACTTTAACTACCTTGTAAAACTTCTCATATCTGCGGCAGATTTTTTCAGCATTTCTATGTTCTCTTACGTACCCAATTCTGAGAGCATTTATATCGAGATTTGGATGCTGGGAAAGAGCTCTTGCCAAGATAGCATCAAGGTTTATAGTTATATAAATAACGACAGTTGGCTTACAAATTTTTTTCTCAAATTGTTTACATTCCTTCATAGTAGATGGAAAATCGTCGACAACATAACCATGACTGTCCTTGAAAGTGTTGCGTATTTCATTTTTTATCTTCGTAATTTTATTATCTTTTGCCTGAGTTAGATGAGTTTGCTCTTTTGAGGTTTCAGTTATAATGGAAGATAAAAATTGTAAACGAATCAAGTGAAAGTTACTAATTTCGGTCAAAATATGAGCGAGAGTCGTTTTTCCGGAAAATGATGGTCCAATTATCCAAAAAATAGGCAACTGAGCCTGTAAAAATTCTTGCCATTCAAGGTCTTGCGCAAAAAAGTTCGCAACGCTAAAAACCGAAAAAATTTTTTCAGGTATGTCGGGAAAGTAACACATTTTTAATTTTGATGAAAATTTTGATCAGAAGCCGAAAGTGACAGGGCTTGGAAATTGACAACTAAAGCCAAACTGCCAGTTTTTTAAGAAAGAAATTTATTTGTAAATTTTTTACAATGTTTCAGAATGTCTTATTCGTAACCAACATAAATAAAGTATGGAAAAGTATCTATTTTTTTTAATAAAAGCAATTTGAATCATAAATTTCTAAACATACACGGATTGACTATAAAAAACTACGAGTATAATAATTAAATATAAATCTGTCGGGTGGCGCCAGAGTTGCGCACTTTCACCAAAATTATGGATAAAATCAATATATGGGTGTACAATGTGGAATGGCATGCATTATTTTGGATTAACAATCCTGTAATGTAACGTCAAATCTGCCGAAGATTTCCAAATAAAATGTTTAACAGTTCGTAAATCCATGGCGGGGTCCAATACTTGATCATTACAGGTTAATTCTATTTGGTCAACATTGTAACCGTTGCTGCTTGGAGTGGTAGAATCAGCGTCACCTCCGGGAGAACTTGCGTTTCCATCACCCAATAATTTTTCCAAAATATGTTCAGCGACTTTGCGACATTGAATAAAATCATTAGCTACCAATCTATCAGGCTGAAAATAATCTTTATATAATTGTAAAACCAAAAAGAACATTACTTTTTTCAGTCTATCTTGTTTCAATAAATGGGAAGGGACAGAAGAATGTGGTTGAAGGTAAAACTGAACTTTGATGAATTTCCCGGTACTATTTTCTTCAATATTGGAAATAACCCAATTGGGTACTGTCTCATTTAACAACGCATTTTCCGTATCTCCAACAGTGTCGCCAACCAAAACCCGATAAAGCGTGCGTCCTCCCACTTCACTACAATTAATTTTACAGGAATCTGTAAAAAAAAATGACACGATTTACCTCAAAATCAAAGGTATATGCTTGGGTACTGAGAAATAAAGTTTATTTTCTGGGTCTCTTTCAACGCCTCTCCAATGCTCAAAAAGTGCCTGTAATAACAATTTGCCATAATTTACTTTTTGGTCCGGCTCTGGACAATCCCTAATTCCAGCATCTCTCGCTGAAACCCACGCTGAGAAACAATCGACTTCATCTTGTCCTAAATGAATCGTCAACATTCCAGTCTTAAGATCAACATTGAACCAATTGGGAACGTAAACTACTTTAAACCTATTTTTTATTTCATCTTGGAAATTGATTTGTCCTAAATCTTCGATTTTTCGCGCCCTCAAAACATCGTAAAGAGCAACATTGTCGTTGGCATCTTTGGTCAAAATGTGTCTCTTATCGTTGAGAACCACGGCCTGGCGAATTGCAGCGCCACCTGGTATCAGCGAAATGGGCGAAGTCGGCATTTTGGCTTCTTCTTTGAAATGTTTCTCAGTTGGTAACTTCCAACAGCGAATACTGGAGTTTGAAGTTGACACCTAGACAAACACATAAGTAAAACAAACCAAATGCACATCAGTACTTACCCATACAGCCTGCTGGTCTGCTGTAAAACACATTTTGAGCACTGGCGCCTCTTCCACACAAACCACTACGCTATTCTGGGGGTTTTTCAGATCAGTCATTATCACCTAGAAATTAATTTAGTAACATTTACAAAAAAAATATCAAAACAATTGCCTTTTTATCTCTTCCACCAGAGATTACATGTGTAAAATTTTCAGTGGCGAGGAGTGCCCAAACGGAGTCGCTATGAACTCTGATTGTTTGAATACACCTCTGCCCCCCTAAACTCCACACTTTGATGGACCCATCACTGCTACCAGAAATGCAATGGGTACCATCTTTTGACACAACTAAAGCCTTAACGTTATCAGTGTGACCTTTTAACTTAAATAACTTGACACAATTTCTGGGGTCCCAAAGCCTGAGAGCTTTTTCAGTGGATCCACTTACTATTACTGTTCCTGGAGGGTTCATGGCCAGACTATAAATTGACTCTTTGCTACCCATCAAACTAGAAGCTGTATTTTCTGTTATTTTAGTTATTTCAACATATGAGACTTACTAGTGACTGTGTTATTGCTAGCTGTTAAAGCTGTTAAGGTGTTGATGTCCCACAAATAAATGGATTTATCAAGACCTGCAGACGCAACTTGCTCTCTGTCTTTGGCGTATGCCAAGGCTTTCACATAGTCCTTATGTGTTCGCAGAGTTGACATACAAAAGCCCTTATGGGCGTTCCAAACTTTAACGGTAGTGTCTGAACTTGCTGAGATTACTAAAAAAATTATTTAAGAAAAAATTATCAAAAATAGGGAAAATAATACAATGTCGGCCTCCACAACACAAAACTATGTCGTTAACCCAGTCAGTATGATGTTCCATCCCATGTAAATAGCGCTCATGTTCGTACACCCTAATAATTGAGTCCCTACCAGCAGAGTACAAACGATCTAATGCCGGATCTATTTGGAGAGCATTTACGCCAGATCTGTGTCTCTTTTCCTCAGCTTCGCAAATTACCATTGATACCTGATCAAAATTGTTACAAAAAACTAGTATGTAAATATAGGATGTAAACAACTAACCTGGACTTTTTTTCGCGGATTTTGTCCGCCTGGCTTCAAATTTGCCATTTTTCTAGGTTTAACAATGTGCCATTTTTTTAATTTAAAGAAATCGGTTATCAATTGGCGTAATAAGTATAAAAAAGTTCCCTTTTGAGAAACTTTTGTAAAAATTTGAGGTTATAATAGTCTGACTTAGTTTTGACATTTAAGCATACACTACATGACAGTAACAGTGGCGGCGCTTAATATGGGGGCTACTAAAAATAGCAAAATTTATGATTTTTTTGTAATTAACACAGATTCTGATAAATAACTACAAAAATTCATACTTTTAAATATACCGGGCAATCAAGAATTATGGTTCTGTGTTGGCAATGTGTACTAAATTTTCTTACCTGCCGCTTATTGCCTGCAGCAGAATAATAAAATGATCTTAATTCTGTTGTCAATACAAGATTTTTCAATTTCTGTTGCAATAATTTGTAAATGTCTAATTTTTTTTTGAATTTTGTGTTATTTTTTATTCATAAAAAAGGACTGCTAAAAATATACGGTGTCCCACGAGTAATAATGAGCCTGAAAAAATTTTTGAAGCAACCAACATTACATTTCAAAGATAACGTGGATATTAAAATATTTGGTTTTAATAAATTAAACATAGTGACCAAACAGAACATCAACTTTGATTTATAAAAAGTCAAACCTTGGAAAATTTGGTGAGAATTATTAAAATGTTGACGAAAAGACCAAAAACATTCTCATTTATTAAAAAAAAAATCGTTTTGCAAACTGCACGTTTCTATCTAGCGCTATATCTAAATAAACCGACTCCCTAAAATTGGAATAAAGTCATTTTGACTGACAGAAATTTGTCAAAAATAAAAATACGATTATTATTAATTTAAAACGAAATATTTTAATATCCACGTTAGTTTTGAAATGTAATGTTGGTTTACTCATGGAACACCCTTTGATTTGTGAAATAATAAACATAAAAAAATCGTTGGCCGATGATTTTGAAATTTAGAGCCTAAATGTTGATTCTAAGCAACTTATATTATTAATTTTTTGTTGTATTTGACACATAAAGGGCACTTTTCTACAGAAAAATAGGTTTTTTTGAAAATTTCCAAGGCATACTTAATTTTTTAAAACTAAAATTATGTTAGAAATTAGTTTTTAACCAAGCGGGCTCAACCTCAGAGAAATAAAAATTTAAAGCGAATTTTTTTTATCTTTTAGTGAGTCGTTTCACCTATACAGAAACACAATTTATGTATGTTATTCGGAGTAAAAGTGAGTTTATGTCGCTCAGCTGAATTATTGGCCTCACTACGTTCGGCAAAATAAACGTTCAGTTTCATCATATAAACTACCACTTTTACTCCTAATATACCTACTGCTATTACTTTGTTTTTAAATTTGTGTTTATATTACATGGTTAAATTTATATTACAGAAAAAGAATATATTCTCTTTTTTATTTTAGTCGCTAGAAACACAATCAAATTTTGTGGTTGCGTGGGTATTTATTATATTATTATTTTTATTTGTTTATAAAATGATCTAGCTATTACAAAGTCCCAGTATGAATTTTAGATGTGAAATAATAAAAATATTAGAGAGATAACTTTGACATTCAAAATGTTGCTAAATATTTTAACACATTAACATTTTCTAGAACCAGTTAGATATCACACCAATTATTTGTAATTTTCGCGTGCATTTTCGCATTGTGGCAACCCGAGTGGCACCCTTATTAAAATTATTTATAAAAAAGTGATAAATATTTTTGAATTTTTCTACTATTTCCTTTTATTATTTAATAAAATGGGTAAAGCTTTATTATTGTAAATAGGTCACTTTTACATTTGACCCCTAAATTGTGCACAACGTTGGTAAAGAAGTAACTGATCTTAACCATGGTGTTATATTGAAACAAGTACAAGAATGATATCACGTTTCAAGTAATCTCTATATAAATCAAAGGGTACCACTCCTTCTCCACTGTTGTTTCAGAAATGAATCATTTGGTAAGTACCCTAATTAAGTGTATTAATCAATAATTAATTAATTAATATTAAGTTTGTTGCCATTTTTGCCACTGTGGCAATAAGTTGCGTTCATGGAGGATTTCTCCATGGCGGTGGCGGCGGCGGGCACGGGGCTGGTACTGTAGCAACTTCTAGCGTTTACACCGCTCGCACCATCCACACTGGATCTCTGGGTCATGGAGGCGGTTTCTCGGGTGGAGGTGGTTTTTCGAGTGGAGGTGGTTTCTCAAGCGGAGGCGGCGGCGGTTCAAGCGGGGGAGGAAGAGGAGGACATTCTGGAGGATTCGTTGCCAGTGGCGGCGGAGGTGGAAGTGGCGGATTCAGTTCAGGCAATTTTGGAGGTTTTGGTTACGGACATGGTTTCCACGGCTGATTACGTTCTAAATTTTTATAATTAGGTTAAGGTAGTTCACTGCGTACATCTTATATTTAAGTATTGTAAGCTTGACATATCATTAGTAATAAAATCATTAGTTTATTAGAGAAGCGGACTTTTATTAGAAAAATATTTTACAATATAATAAGTGAAGCACCGATTATAAAAATAGTTGCATTTATTTATTATTCATATACAATAAATGTGAGCATTAATTTACAAAACTGTGGTAGCAACCCAGGGAGAGCCGAGCCAAGGCGAAGCGACAAGTCCCCCGCTCCAAGGAGAGGCTACAAGAGGAGTGTCAACAACTCCAGCACTTAGGGGAATAACAGCTGCATAAGCTGAGGCGAGAGCCAAAATGACAAAAATAACGAAGATCTGAAAACACATTGTTATTTTTTTTAATTTTATTATAATAAATAATAATTTACACTTACCATAGATTTCATGTTGATTGTTTGTGCTTTTGATTGTTCAAATCTTGGTATACTGCGAAGTTTAGTGAAGGATGGTTTATATACAAAAACATATCCTTGAAAAAATTGCTCTGATAATCTAACTTGCTATTCTATTGCAACAGACTTCTTGGATATGTGGAATAGCCCATTTTGAATAATTATAGATAAACAAATAACCAATAAGGAAGTTAAAAATTCTAATTTTTTTTTATAGACTTGGAGATGAGAGAGAGATATATATAAATAAAAATAATGGTTCGGAATAAATTAAACTCTAAACGCAATCAAGTGAATAATGTGGTTGTTTTTTTGGTAAAGTAATAAAATATTTTTATGTAGCGTAAAAGTATATACAATATGATTTAATTTTTATAACTTCTGAAGTCAAACAAACCTATATTTTTTTTGAATGCAAACTTTGTTATCAAAAATTATCAAAACAAACAACGCTCCTGCAATGTGAGGTATGTGTTTGCAGAATATATGCACAAGTTAAATATTTCATGCAAATACAAAAAGTAAAGAAAACATGTTGCTTATCAGCTAGAATGTAAAATCATTATTATTTACTTATTTAGTATTTATTATTCTATAACTATTTTTGCAGAAATTATTTTGCGCGTTTGTACATGTGTATTTTATATATTATTCATTCAATAAATCTTTGATTAACGCCACATATTAATTGAAAGAATCTTAAAAAAGGACATCTTATAAACTCTCATATGGGTTTCTAAAGACCACTCAAATGTGGATATTTTTACATCAATCGCGCGTCTTTAGATAAGAAATTATTGTTACCATTGCGCCAAAACGCTAACTTTATAAATAAAGTGGTTATTTGTAAAATAAAATTAAAATGCTGGAATTTAAGATGGTCCTTAGAGTGAGATCTAAATCTTTCTTTCTAACTAAAGCAAAGTAAATGGCAGCATTTTAATTTTGTTTTACAAATAACCACTTTATTTATAAAGTTTTGCGTTTTGGCGCAATGGTAACAATAATTTCTTATCTGAAGACGCGTCGATTGATGTAAAAATATCCACATTTGAGTGGTCTTTAGAGACCCATACAAAGTGTGCGTTCTCCTTTATCAGAGTTTAGAAAGATAGGTAATCTTAATTTAGTAGGTACTCCCATAATAAACAAAATACTGATCAGGTTAAAACATGTTTATTTGATAAACTTGTATACAGAGATTTAGAATGTTAATAAAATATTGGGCAGGTAAAAAATGTAATTCTTAAATTATTTCAATATAACATATATTTAGATTAAAAAATAAAATATGTATTTCCTTATTGGGTACCAATAGGTACTTGCTGAAAATAAAAAAAAATGATAGATAAGTATTTAAAAATTTCTAACAACTTGCTCTCACCTGCTTTCATTCAGTACGAACACACTTGCCATTCAGTTTCGCGTAACCTTTTTGACAATGTACAGTAATAATATTGTGGAGTTCTGGTCGTGGTTTATCAGTAGGAAGTCCAAAAATCATGGTTATAAAAACCATAAGGATAAAGAAAATGTTCACTTTTTTAACCCACATTTTGCAGTACTCCCAGCAAATAAGGAGCGTCTTTAAATTTATAGATTTTCTTATCAGATAAGCACTTCAAATAGTTTACAAAGTAAATGTTATCACGTAGACTTTCTTCAGAAAATTATTGCATTTATAAAAAATCAGAGATTTTTGTAGTTATTTTTTTTTTGTATAAGTTGTTGTATTTCAATTTCTTTAAATTTTTACTTTGCAGGAAACGAAGTATAACAGACAAACAAAAATAAAATTGAATTTAGAAAGCTCAGTTCTTTATTTCTTAAAAGTAATTTTCCATCACAATAACATTTTTACCAAACAGTGCCAACTACGGCACCTTCAGCCCAAGGAGAAGCAATAAGTCCTCCACTCAAAGGTGCAGCTTCTACAGGTTGGGCAATTACACCATCAGTCAAGGAAGTAACTTCAGAACTAATGATTTGACCATAAACTGCAGCAATGGACAAAACAAAGAAAACGGCAACAATCTGAAAACAATTAATACAAGTTTTATATTTACAATTGTGTAAGGTTTCTTACGAATTTCATCTTGGTTTTAGTTAAAGACTGCTTGTGTTTTCCACAAACTCTGACAGGATAAAGAATAAAGAAAGCTTATATAGGTCAAAAAGACCTTGACTGTGAATTTTTTTGATACTTATATAACGAATTTGTTACAATTTTTCTAAAGATTTCAACAGCTAATTTTTTCGATCAGCAACCTCGAACGTAACAAAACATTTTTTCTAAATAAAACCACAAAATCACTTAAATAAATAAATCAGAAAACTAACAAATATGTATGCTGAAAAGTTATACGTTAGCCTCTGTTAATAAAAGTTTTACCCTTTAAAAGTAAACTCATAATTCCGTAAGCTCAAGCTTTGAAGCGAAAAATTTATATCAAAACTGGAAAAAGTCTTTAATAATAAAGTAAACACAGTTACACCTGAAACAGGTTTAATTAAACATGTTGAAATTTAATTTAAACGTGTTATTTAATTTATAATTGTTTACATTGCAAAGAAAATTCGTTCGTAATTTGCTATATCCGACTGACACACTTAATCAAAATTAAGGTTCCCTAATTAACAAATCAGAAACAATTACCGTACACAAATGTCTGGATCAAATCAATTTAATCAAAGGACAAATTTTCAATATATAAGGTAATCATGAAGTGCAATAAGCATCATTCAAGTTTCAAACGCCAGTTTGATAAACAATGAACACTTTGGTAGGTCTTTAAAAACTTGTTTTTTATCTCATCTGATCTTATTTTTAACAGGTCATTCTCGCTGTCATTTTTTTGGCCACAATTAGCGTTGCCGTAATGGGGTCACCCTTGATAATGCCGTTAATGACCACTGGAATGATGGGCGGTGCGGGAATGAGAGGAGGAATGATGATGGGTGGCGGAAGAATGATGATGGGTGGCGCAAGGATGAGGGGAGGAATGATGGGTGGAGCGGGAATGATGGGAGCTGGCATGGGGGGCATGGGTGGTGCAATGATGCTGCCTCCAATTACCGCTGGAATGATGGGAGGAATGGGAGGCATGGGAGGTGGTGCAATGATGGGATAATTATGTTTACATATTAGGTAATCTGTATTTAAGAGCGAGGTTGTTTATGGGCAACAAAACTTGTTTAAAACTTTTGTCTCAACAACGTGTGTACTTAATTATAATTAACTGGAACAATTTTTGTATTTAAAAAATTGGTGTTAATAAATTTTGTAATAATTGCATGCAATTCCAAATGTTGGTTTTTACCTAATTTCAAGTTTCTAAAGTTGCTGCTTTTTCATAAAAGTGATACATTAGATAATTTGCTAATATTATTAGAATATTAGCATAATGTCAGCAGCTTTTAATGGTTCATCTTATTAAGATTAGGAGAAAATATTAACAACTTCGTTATGTTAGCTTTCCTCTTATTTGATTGTATAATATTCATGTTTTTCCTGTTGCCGAAAATTGTGGCTAAAACATTCATAGAAAGTTGCAGATCATTTGTTAATTATTGCGACAGTTTTGTTGCTTCATAATTTTTATATCCTTTATAAGAAATTAAGGTAATGTTAGTGAAGATATATCACACTTTAAATATGTAAATTAGTATATTAATTCAATATCGTTGCTGTATTCTAGTTACATTCAGTGAGAAATAAATTTATTCTTTGCGTTATTTCACAACATTTTTTCACTTATTCATTTTTAAGAATGAACGATTAATCCATTGCTTTCAATATTTATTTACTGGATGAGTAGACAAGATATTTTTTAAATTAAAATTAGTGATTCATATAAATATAGACGCTAAAAGTGAAGGTTTTTTAATTTATTTAAAAAATCCGAAAAATACAAGATCAGTGCCATCAATATAATGGGTGATCGATATTTGACATTATATTGGGCACTTGTAACTTAACACACCAAACCAGTTTTATTTAGGGTGGCCACTAATGTCTTGTTGAGGTTGAGGCCATTGCAAAAGTATATAAACTGAAAATAAATCCCAATTCATCACACATTCTTTCAACGTTTTTCATAAACGCATCTCAACCAAAAATGAACGCCGTAAGGGTCCGTTTAAAAAAAAAAACATAGTTAAATAAATTATTTGCAGTTTGTAGCCGTGTTCGTCGCTTTCGCCGTTGCCACAGCCAACGCCGGATACCTGGGAGCCCCCTTGGCCGCCGCCCCCCTCGCTGTAGCCCATGCTGCCCCCCTCGCCGTA